GAAATGTTATGGTATACATCCCAAATAGCGTATATTATATGCATTTTATTATAAAAATGTGTAATTTTATTATTAAATTTTGAAACATTAATTACAAAAATACGTAATCTTGTCATAAATTGACAAATTTTTGAATATTTTTGTTATGCTAATTTATAGCGAGTTTACACATTTCGTGATTGATATTACAAAACTTTATTTTATAATAAAATTACATATTTTTGTAATAGGGTACATAGGATAGACATCATGGCATTTTGATGCATGGTTAAAAACGTATACTTATTTTATTCTATGTAATCACTAATACATTTTTATTAAATCAATTCTCTCATTTTATTTTTATCTATGAATTAAATCATTTAATTTTACTTTTTAAACAATAATTTGAAATTGAGATGAAGATTGAGGCTAATTGATAATTTAAGAAAAAAATGAAGAAAAATAAGTCAAATTGAACCCAAACTCTATTCAGCAGCAACCAACGTGTCATGGCCAATTGAAAAGAAGTGATTCACGTGCGAAGCAAAACAATTGGATTCTATTTGTTGGATGATATTGTTTCGAAGAGGCATGTGCGTTTCGTTTTAATTTCTTGGATTTAATTTTTTAGCAATTAATTTTTTTATTTTTAATAAATATTTTTAAAATTGTTAGAATTTTCTTTTTATATTTTTAGATGTACATTTTTTTTTTATCAAAATAGAAATATCCAGTAGAGTAGCTAAAGAGGAATCTATCTAAAAGATATACTTATACCAAGTAAAGGAAAAATGAAAACAAACAATACACATGAGTAAATCTATGAAGAATATCTAGTTGCACAACATGTTCTTGTGCTTGTGCTCATGTTGTGTTTCATTTTAATTTCTTGGATTTAATTTTTTAGAAATTAATTTTTTTAATTTTAATAAATATTTTTAAAATTGTAAGAATTTTCTTTTTATATTTTTAGATGTAAATTTTTATTTTTTTTTATCAAAATAAAAGTATCCAGTAGAGTAGCTAAAGAGGAATCTATCTAAAAGATAAACTTATACCAAGTAAAGGAAAAATGAAAACAAACAACACACATGAGTAAATCTTTGAAGAATATCTAGTTGCACAACATGTGCTTGTGCTTGTGCTTGTGCTCGTGCTCGTGCTCGTGCTTGTACTGCAATCAAAGGATAGATCATGATGGACTCAAAATACAAACAAAAACAAAAAACCACAAACTCAACCTCAAACTAGATCCGTGGTAGATTTGGAGTAGATCAGGGACGGAACTAGAAGAAGACTATGGGGGGCCATGGCCCTCCTATTTCTGAAAATTATTGTTTGCCATTGAATTTTGAAAATATATATATCATTTTATACATAAAATGGCCCCTAGTATAAAAAAATATATATGTCATTCTTCTTTCATTTTGAATTCTTTTTCTATTTTACACCAAAAAAAACTTCTTCAATTTTTAGAAATTTCTTCTATGGTATTTAAATTTTTTTTTATGTATATGTAATTTATTTATATAATATTATATGTACATGTATGTTTTGTGTATATGGTGACAAAAATTATTTTTTTTTGGCCCCTTCGATAATGAAATCCTGGTTCCGTCTCTGGAGTAGATCCATACCAGCGGGATGGAGGAAAGTGGCGGATTCGATGGATTTGGATGAGAAGGATCGTAGAGCACAATTTGACAGATCTGGTGAGGCCCTGGTTGAGGAAGTCATAAAGAAGAAGAAAGGAGATGAAGAGTAAAGATTCCACCAAGAGGGGAAAGCACCTCACATGGAGGGAAAAGATGAGAAGACTAAGCTCCTAAAGTTTATTGATCCAAACAGGACAAGGAAAATGAAAGAAAAAGAGGGATAGAAGGGAGGAGAGAGGTGGCTGGAAGTCAAAGCCCTCCTCTCCCACCTCGAGCGGCGCGTTCAAGAGAAACCCTAAGAGAGGTAGATGTATTTAAATAGTAAAATATTTATGAAAAAATATATTAAAAAATTATTAGATACACAAAAATACAAAAAATATATTGAATTTTTGTTATTTATTTTATATTTTTGGTATTTAGTGATTTTTTTTAAAAAAATTATAAATATTATATTTTTTAAATACATTTATGTTAGGTATGCCTAAAAATTTAAAAAATTCAGTAAAAATAAAAAATATATAAATGTAAAACAAAAACCAAACATAGTGAATTGGATTCTATTTGTTGGATGTTATGGTTTCAAAGGTTATTGGATGAATGGTGGCATGATGTTAATCTGATGGGAATATCATGGTGTATGTGTCGGTATTTTTTAATTAATTATTATTATTATCATTTTGTTTCTTAATTATTAAGTACAATAACTCACAGATTTACTTTATTCGCTAATTACAATATTATAAAATATCACGGGTTTATATTCTGGGATTATTGTGAAAATTCTTGAAAATATGTGTACCATATACATCTTATAATTAAAAAAATAATAATATATGTGTGTACCATATACATCTCATAATTAAAAAAATAATAATATAATTTAAATTTTTTGAGTCATAAATAAAAAAAATATTATAACTAAATATAACACGAGTCATAATTGAAAAATTCATGAATTATAACTAAAATAATATCAAAATTAAAAAAAATTAATCATAACTAAAGAAAAAATGACATAATTAAAAACATATATAATAAACCTTTTTAAATATATATATATATATATATTAGAATTTCCCTAATCTAATTGGTTGAATGATGAAAGGCAAGAAGTTCATTGGAAGAATGATCTCATCCTGGAGAAGAATTACCACCTACCTTGAACCATTAAATAGATAGATAAGAGCTGAACGAGGGAACATTCCGAGAAAACTTTACATATTGTTTTAATTTATTTCTATGGTGTTTTAAGTTTTTTTTTTTATTAAAATTGGTGTAAAACTTCAATCGTTTTTTTTTATATAAATATTTATAATTTATTTATGATTTTTAATATTAAATTATTTTGATTGATTAGTTTATTTATTTTAAAAAATAATTATTCTATATAATTCTTTGATTTACCGTTAACTTCGACACGGTATATGCTTATAATACTTTGCGAATTAAATTATTAGAATTTCATGGAAAAGTTTTTGTTTTGTATAATCTCTTATTTTATTATAAATTCTGGACACGGTAGAAACTTAATATTGTCTACGAATCAAATAATTAGATTTTTATGGTATAATCATTCGGTCAAAATAATCAATTTCTTAAAATTTATTTTTACTTAAAATAATCGTTTTTATCTTCCGATTAAGAATACCTTTTGTGTTTGTCAAATAACTAAATTTTTATGGTGTAATCATTCAATCAAAATAATCAATCTCTTAAAATTTATTTTTACATAAAATAATTATTTTTATCTTCTCAAAATAATCAATCTCTTAAAATTTATTTTTACATAAAATAATTATTTTTATCTTCCAATTGAGAATACCCTTTGTGTTTGTCTCAATTAAATTATACAAATTGAATATAAAATATTTTAAAAAAAAGTATTAGCGGAGGATTGTTGATGCCTTAGTACCCTTTTGTTTTTTGTCATCTTAATTTATTGTTTAGTTAACTTTTCTCAATTATCTAATCATTTCCAAAAATTCAAAGTCATTTTTTTCTTTGTTTTATTTGAATGCTAGATAATTTCTTTGAACAAATTAATCCCTAATAATTTGATCTCGAACTCACTGAGTTATACCACCTCATGACATTCTACACTTGAAATTGCATTAATAAAGTTGCAGCACATTTCCCCTCAATAAAATTATAGGACGAAGCTCAAATTTTCCCTACAACCTACAAAAAAATAAAAATAAAAAAAATGGGTGAATCACAAAAGAAAAATGCTTTAGAGCTCAAAATTTTCGAAGCTCGAGTAGCCCGAATTAAAAAACGACGTTGTTTCGGATTTTTTTTTATTTTTTTCCTCTTTTATCTCTAAAACAAAGGGATGGAGGAAAAGAGAGAGAAAGAGTGAGGAAGAGAGAAGTGAAAGGGGGAACACAGAGAGAGAGAGAGCTCCATTCATCACCAGCGCTGCCATCCTTTGTGTTGATACACAGATCTGTATAGATTTGTTTATGTGTATCTCTTTCTCTCTGTGTGTGTATAGATTTGTGTGTATACACAAATCTATATAGATTTGTATATCTCTCTCTTTCTGTTTTGTGTATCTCTTTCTCTCTCTCTCTGTTCTCCGATCTGTGGATTTTGATTTTGGGTGATGTGGTGGTGGAGCAGAAAATATAGAAGAAGAAGAAGAAGAGGAGAAACAGAGGGGTGATAGAGCAGATCTGTCTGTGTATACACAAATCGTGTTTATTTTTATTTTTTTGGATTTTTCCTCTCCTTTCTCTTTTTTTGATTATGAGTTATGGAAGAAGAAAAGAAAAAAAAAAAACAGACAAAGAACAGATACCAGAAGTCAGAGGAAGAAAAAAGCAAAAAAAGAAAAGAAAAAGAAAGTGTTGTTTTGGCATCTCGAGCCATTCGAGCCTTGAACGATTTGAGCTACCTAGCGGGATTGATCCCAAAATAAGTTCAGCATTGCTCAAAAACATCAGGCACTTGAATTTGCAATTTTTTTTGTTTTCATTTTGAAGACTTTTGATACACCCCGTCTTGAATCAAAGAGAGAAAATGCTGGATTTTTTTTTTTTTTTCCACTTTAATGTTGCCATTTTTTCCTTTCTTCTTTGATTACAATTTTCTTGATAGATTTAGTTAGATTCTTTGAACTTCATATAGGAAATGAAGTGCATTCCAATTGATTATTACAATTGCACACCAAAAACAAAAGACCATTTGTCATGAAATTTTACGGAAATCTTCACTTAGTGAAACAAGCTTTGTTGAATCAAAATTTTAGCTCAAACTTGTTTACATATAGAACAAGCCTTATATGAACTGAGCATATTCATGAAGAACTTGGTCCATTTGGAGTCTTAATTCCAACCCAGAAACTCAAAAAACAGAGAATTATGGAAGAAGCTTAACAACCACCAAACAAATCATCCACTACATCTGGCAAATATATAAACTAATGCAAAGACCATAGGGGAGAGAGAGAGAGATCCTTGCTCCAATATAAGTTCATAATAGCTTTTCCCCATTTCCATCCACATATGAAGTTATAAACGACCCTAATTTCTTGTAATTACAGCAAAACAAGAAATTCCCAGTGCATTCCAATTGAATTATAAGGAGGTATTTAAAACAACCATCTTCTCTACAGTGTGTGTTTTCAACCTAAAAATTATGGGATTAGAGAACACCAAAGAAGGGATTGTTTATTGCACTATTCAGTTCAGTGCCAGCGGAGTTCAGCACTGCCATATCAACTTTGTCTCTGGGTAGAAACAAGAACTCACCGCCATCAATTTTCTTAAACCCACACAACTCAAGAAACTTGATGCCACCTTTCAACGCACCAACTCTAGCCTGTTAAACACAAAGTGGTTTGTTATCACAGATATTTATTTGATGGTTATATAAGACCCATCCTGAATGTTGATTAATTACATAAATCTAAAAAATTCAATAACAAAGTCCACCAATCATGAAAGAAGGAACCAATTATTGGTTTGCAATATTGACTTGTGTTCTGGCTTTGGAAAAGTATCTAACGGAAATTCGTACCTGGAAGGTGGCATTACTGAGTCTAATTTTTCGGAATTTCTCCTCATTGGTATTTGTTGCAACATTCCTTGCATAAGTCAGAAGAGTATTAAATGCCATCTTTACTTTGGCCTCATTGTCCTAGTACCACAGAAAACAAATGAAATGGATGTTACTGAGCAATGAAATTCATTAAATTCACCAGATTGTAATATTGTTCTGATACTAGTTAAAAGGATTCAAAACTCTTCATTCAATTTCTGAAGCCAAAGGAAGCATCATTTTTGGGACACACAAGCCTTTCATTTATGAAAGAATGAAGATGGAACTTTATTCCAAGGACAAACAAAATCAAATCCAACTCATCGAGGAGAAACATGAATATTTTTCCTTTTTTTCAGCAAATCCATTTTTCTTGTTCCTTCTCTTTATGTTTTTACCCTACATTACATCCAATTGGGTACAAGTGTCACGAGCTGGTATTTGCCTAAGACATGGCTAGACTTCATATTTCTCAATAACTTATTTTTTAATGGTAAAATAATGTATACAAACCAAAATATAGCATTTTATGAATAAAATGCTCTTTTTTTTGCATAATTATATAGCGAACTCACTACTTATACATGCTTGTTGGGTTCATATTGAACGTATATATATCATATCCTTACTCAAGTGTCAAGTGTCTGATGAGTACTTCACAAATTTATAAGAATTCATGTAACAAAGATTTTATCGCATTTGTGTTTCCTTGTTTTTTTTCTGTTGGAGATGGGGAGGAGGTGGTTAATACAGAAGCAACCTATATTCACACATTCTTCTCCTTAGATAACAAACTACACAAGTCCTCAGTGCATGCAGCAATCACTAATTACCTTATGGTTCTGCTTGAGAGAACGTAAGCACTCTCTCATTTGTTCTGCCTTCGTGGCAGGCCTGACTGGCACTAAGCTCTGCAATTTTTATATGAAGAAATGTTTTTAACTCAAATTTTGATTAGATTCCACAGATTACCAGAGACTGATATTTATACTTTCATTCAGATGAATTCAAACCTTCTTTTCCTCCACAGCAGGTGCCGAAGGTTTTGCAGCAACAGGATCTTCTGGTGGCAATCCAAGCTTTCTCCTTCTTTCTGCCTGTGAAATATATCTCTTTTTTAAAATAAAAACAAAAATTATGATAATTTATAATCATGTAATAATTTTCAAGTAGCTTCAAGAAATTACAAAGGGATATCTTGTTCCTGATACAACCTTTTGTTTCATGCCTTAAACAAAGGAAGACTTGGAAGAATGAAAGGCACCGCTTGACGATTTCCACTCACTCCCTCTTCCTTTCTACCTTCATTAGCCTACTCAGAAGGTTCTCCCTCCCATATGTGCCTGTCCAAATGTTCCAACTTTCACCATATTCCTTATTTCATCAATGTTTGGTCCATGGCTTGCTAGCCTAATTCTCAGATATAGCTCTCATGGTGGAAACACTTTATTTTACAACCATAGCCAAACATTGACTTCACACATGGTGATTGTTTTCTATTATTGTTCGTTTTCTGGTTACTAGCCGTTTCAAACTAAATCTTCTTACATGTCTGAGCAATTCTCAGCACATATCCTTTCCTTCCATATATTGGTTGAAATATACTTTTTAAGATTTTCACCGTCAGACCCCTCGATAAAATCTAAGTTGAATCACAAATAAAGTGCTCTACTGTAAATAATGAATTATCAATCCACCATGCTAATTTTGAGTATTTGTATTAGCATATAAAACAGAACAACAAGACACTATCAGGACCTTATCCTCTTCCAATTTTTGTCGAATTTTCTCCCTAGCTCTTTTCTCTTCCTCTTTCTCAGCTTTCCGCGAGGCCACCACACTGTGAAAGCAGAACACATTGTTTTGTAATACAATGAGATAAAATAACCATGTAGCACCAAAAACAGAAGAAACAAATGTTATGAATAAACCCCACCATTTTCTTTCATTTTCTTCCTCAATTCGCTTCGCATCAAGAAGTTCTTCGCCCACCCGAATCCTCTCCTAAAGAGAAAAAAGAAAACCATGATTAAAAAAACATAAGAGAATGGAATTACAGTGGCCAGATAGAAAATCAAAAATTCAGGATCATGCATCATATATCTAGATCATTGATATGTGTTAACATATAATATACATATAATATATCCCCCACTACCACTACCATGTATAGCTGTAACCTTGCATCTGTAAAGGCTACAATGTGTAGCTGTAAAGAAGAGAACTTCACTTTAGCTTTAGCTTCTCTCAATGTAAATTCCAGGCATCCGATGCTAATTGTCTCCCTCTCCTCTCTATAAAGAGAGGGAGCTTGCTCTCTTGTAATTACACTGAAATATAATACAACAACACCAACTTTCAGTCCCAAAAAAAAAAATGTTGAGCTTGGTGACTCCAAATGATAGGTTGGTAGACGGAGCCGGAGACTCAGAAGAACCCTCAGCGGCAGCAGCAGCAGTGGCGGTGTGAGGAAACTGATTAACATATCTTCACCAAGGCTCATTCTCCTGGGCGCTTTCGTGATCTTGTTTCCAAACTCAACTTGGTCGATGCCTACCCTCCTTGAGTTTGCGGGGGGCTGTTAACATATAATATACATATAATATATCCCCCACTACCACTACCATGTATAGCTGTAACCTTGCATCTGTAAAGGCTACAATGTGTAGCTGTAAAGAAGAGAACTTCACTTTAGCTTTAGCTTCTCTCAATGTAAATTCCAGGCATCCGATGCTAATTGTCTCCCTCTCCTCTCTATAAAGAGAGGGAGCTTGCTCTCTTGTAATTACACTGAAATATAATACAACAATATGAAAGAGACTTGAAAATAGAAATTGACCTAAGAAGAGCTTTCCAATACATAATGATCTTGGACCATCACTCAAATAAAAGTAAAATACATCGTTAACACTGAATTTGTAGTATGGAGGAAAACAAATATGGACAAACAAACAAGCAAACATCAAACAAAAAATAAATCGTAGCCATTGTCTCCATAGATAACGAACTTCCAACAGTTTACAGAAGTATTATTTCTATGTTTGTTTGAAGTCTGAACAATTTCCAAAACAACAATATACAATCTTAAAATCTATTCTTGTTCGAAAGTAAGAGAGGGGGGTTGTTGGTAGGGTCCTGATGCTCAAAAAAGCTCACAAGCTTCAAAGCAGATGCTTTGAGAAATATATATATTTGATAAGTAAAGAAAATCATATTAAAGAAACCGCCAAAAGGGGTGAACCTTATATGAACTGACAAGAATTCTCCTATAAAATCTACAAGGGAAAAAGAAGATTCACAAAAGTTTATTTTACACAAAAAATGAAAGCTTTGTAATAGACACATCTCTTAACTATGGAATGATAATAAATGCAAACAACACAGTATACATTTGATACAAATGTTATTAATTATCTTTAACAGATGAAAAATTTTCTAGAATATCATTTAATCACAAAAAATACACAGTAATAATATCTTCAGTCATACAAAATTCACTTTAACTCCAATTTCTTTATTATTTAACCAATCCGAAACTATGTTACCTGGAACGTGGAATGAAACATGTTTTAAAATGTGGTACGATAAGGGTAGACTTGTATGTATTACACTTTAAGAATTTAAGGTATTTCTTGAGTAACTTTCTTTTAACTATTAGGCATCTAAAATATATATATACATATATGTTTCCATTTTTTATGTTTTTGTCTTGTCAAAACTTAAGTCGCCTTAGATTTTAGTTCATTATATTTAATTTTTATTCCTCCTAAGGTAACATTTAAGGAAATATATTGGAAAAAAAATTTGGGATCACTTTGGATTACTAAATTTACCATTTTGGAACGGAAGAGTACCATGTTTCGGAATGTGTGTAGCAATACATAATTCACTAGGGTATCAGCGTTTTCTGGTAACACAAAACAATAATAATATGACACAATAAGTTCATAGCTGAAAAATAGTACTACAAAATACAAAGTCAATATGACAAGAAGGCATATCCTCTAGTAAATTAAGAATCACCTTCTCCCTCTCTCTTTCCATTCGCTTCTCTTTCTCTTCGCTTCTCTTTCTCTTCTTTCTTCTTGCGAGCTTGCTCCCTTAAGCATTGAAAAGATTAATAACATTAGAAACAGAAGCAATAGTAAAAAGGACAATCATAGTAAATTTATTTTTTATTTTTTTTAAAAATGGTCTCATGTATGTACCCAAGTTTAAATTTTTGTCTAGAATTAAGTTTTTGGCCCTAAAGGGGGTGGAAAAAAAAAAGGCAGAAAAAGTTTCTGGCTCTAAAGACATAAATGAAGAAATTTCAGGAAATGTTTCTCCGTGGAGACAACCAAGTATCCATAGCTGCTAAAGAAAGCCAATGAGAACCCAACCAATACATCATTAACGTTAAATCAATCTTATTAGTTATTACAAGTAGACTTTTACCTAACCCCATGATGCAAACCATACCAACAAGAAAATGAGACAATTTAGAATTTCGCATGGAAAATGGTTAAGACATCATGGAATGAAGCTTCGGAATAAGTTTGCATCTCAAGGTCATTAAAGAGCACAGATAACAAGGGCAAAATAAGCATTACTTTAGTTCCTGTGCTTTCATCTTTGTTTCTTCAGGAGTAATAGAAGGCTTGGAAGCCTCAGTTTTGGTGTTGAGAGGTACCTAGGCAGAATTAGGCAAGTGATAGTCAAATCTTTGCAAAGCTATATTTTACTCGGGCATACACTCAGTTTTTTTTTCCAAAGATGTCACATCAATAATGCATGCACAAAAACAATTCCCACGAAACACTAAAGCGATAAATTGGGAGAAGAGGAATGAAAACTAAAACACAATGTCACAAGGATGCACTTCAAACACAGAACATAGAAAGGAATTTAGTGTAAGGTTCAGAACCAAACAGCAGCTATTCAAGCAAGCCAGATCAACAACCACAATATCCAAATGAAAATGAGCAGCTGTGCAAAAAAACATACCAAAGTTGCAATCATGTCACAAATGTAGGATGGCCAACAAATGATAGATAAGAAGTGGTGGTGGGAATCATGATCAGGGAGTTATAAATGTTTCCAGACGCAAACGAAATGCTGAATTTCAAAATAAATTGTTGATTAATTTAGGGCTTTAATTTTGTAATTTCCCTATTTCTAGGCATAATTTGATAGAGATTTATTTCCTTTCCGGGTTTGCCCCGTCAATAATAGGATTGATTTACTGGATTCCAGACTTGGTTATTTGTAGAATTTCAGAATATCATTTCATCTCCCTCTCTCTGCAACTCTCTCTCCTCCTTCATATTCTTGTCCTGTTGCATTTCTTTTTCTCCTCCCCTGTATTCCTCTGCTCATCAATTTGGTATCAAAGCCCACAACACTCTATTGCCATAGGATCAACCGGTTATGAATTTGCAGATTTTTTACTTTGCCACCGCTGCCGCCATACTTATTGTGGTGTGGATGATTTCAACTCACAAGGATTACCAAGTTCAATTGCTCTACAAGCCTTCCAAAGTTCCCCAAACCCTTAGCATCATTATTTTCTCAATAACATCATAAGCTTAAATTCTTATATATCATACATGCACATAACAGAATTTTTAAATAAACAAAGTACACAAAAATGCCATGTAGTAACATGCTTGGACATCAATCTTATTTTGATTAATCCAAAAGTAAAAAGGTAAAATAAGAATGAAGCAGGTAGATGAATATGTTAAGATGTGTCTGAAGACTGAACAAAAAAAATCAAACCTTCAGCATCTGATCTATATCTGCATCATTTTCATGTTCAACTGCCCAATTCACAGCATCCTCAAGGCCAACATTACCTGGAAAAGTTTGAAGCAAGTAGGTTAAAAATAAAATTCACATAATACTAACACAATATGACAAGCAACACTCACAAAAGACCCAACTGGCAAAGGTACTTACAGATCATCCAAACTGCAATTATATAAAAATTTCATACAGTGCAGAAACAATTTATCTCATTCAATTGAAGCAGGAAAAAAAGATGCAATCAATAAAAAACAAGAAATTTGAGAAAAATAAGACAAATAAAAACTAAACATGAAAGAAAAATCATTAGCCCTTCACTACCTAATATGATACAATGGCCATACAAAATAGAAGATGGTACTAAACGACCATCAGTTACGCAAAGGCATTTTTTGCCCAATTGAGAAACAAATAACTTGACTTCATAAAATAAAGAATATCACATCAGCCCAATGGAAAAGATAACTGCTGCACCTCAAGGTTTTCATGGTGCACCTAACCCCATAATTCTATACCCAATTAGCTCAGGCTACAAAACTTTTTAAAAGCTTAAATTGTTCTTTAGTCATACTGATACAGCCCTGAACCAACAGAATTTTAGACAAGTGTTCAAAAAATAAAAGATAAAAAGCCAGTTGTCACTTGTCAGAAAATTCACTGTAAACAATAATTCAATAAAGAAGATAAACTTCCAAATGCCCTCACCAGAGTAATGAAGTGCCCTGGTCGCCCTTGCCTTAGGAAATCCCATTCCTTCAAGTTCCTCAAGCAACTTCTGGTCAACTTCTGGAACAACCATTTCTAATGGAGAACAAATAGAAGATAGTCAGATAACCACTTGTTCTGAAAATGAAAATGTGCACCTCCCACTCACCAAATCCAACAAATTAATATCAATACATTACAGTAAACATAATGGTTTGGAGGGTATTGGATTAGTTTTGTTGTTGGTTGCATAGCTTCTTTGTCTATCTACGCCTTTTAAGTTTTAATAATACTCTGTTTTTAAATATAAATTTGGCTCATTATATATAAAAAAAAAAAATGTTGACTTTGTTCAAAAAAATTCTATTTTAAAAAAACTTAGCTATTCGAGCTTGACACGTGTTTGTCAAAAACTCGTTCAACATTGCACTAGTCGGCTTGTTTCCAGCCCTACCCAAAATCCAAAATTAATGCATTGTCACTTACGAGACATACCCTCTACAAATTTTGCAAAATTCACATTCCTCAAATCACACATATTCAAAAAAAATCATAAAATTGATAACCACATTGTCAAATACAACACATAAAGAGTATACCTGTGCTCTGATACCATGAAAGAAATAAGAGAATGTAAGAAATCTCTTGTATATTAATTGTGTCAGACAGTGTAAGAGGAGACTCCTATTTATAGGAGCTATTGTTTACAACATCATTATGTTACATTACATAAAATAATAGAAAGTGGCCGAAAGCAGCCGAAAGTGAAGGAAGGCGTGCTCTGGCATCCTATCACCTTATATATATATATATAATATATTAGTGCTGTGTGTGTTTAATATATAATATATATACATATATGTTACATTAATATATATTAAAACCCAGAAATCAAAATCACATATATGCATATATGTGCATGTGTGTGTGTGTGCGTATATGTGTGTGAATTGGGATTGTGGTCACGGTTTTGGAGCGGCAGGGTTTGAGGCAGGAGGAGCAGAGGAGGTTGAGAACGGGCTCGATGGATTCGAAGAAGTTGGAGTGCTTGGTGAGCTCTGCGTGTTCTTGAGCTTCCTTCACTGATCTCAGGAGGGTTCCACAGTCGCCACACTTGAGAGATACGCCCGCCATTGATCTCTCTCTACTCTCTCTCTCTACTAGAGAGGACTCCGATGGTTTTATTGAAGAGTCGCTGCCTTGTCCACGACTCCTTGCTTCTGTTCTTTTCTTTAACGGCTTCCTCTCATATTTCATTTAGGAATGATCCCAACCGTTCATCTTCTCAATTTAATAATAAAAATATGTTGTGTAAAAAATTAATTTTATTTAATATCATATTGTTTGGTTTTAATTTTTGAACTCAAATTTTTAAAAAATTGATTTTTTTTTAATATTTTAAAGATCAATTACACTTACCCTTCCTGAGGTTTGGGTTTAATATGTATCACCCATGACGTTTGAAAAATTACATTGATCCCACTGTCATTGTAATTATTTAGATTAAAATAATGTTGATATCAAAAGATATTGAATTCATAGACTCTCTTTTTCTTACTTTGTTTTATTTCTTTTATGTTTTTTTTCCTATACTTTCCTTTGCTTTCCTTTTTTTTTTTTCAATATAGTTTTATCTGTTTTTCTACCAGAAGTTGTTACCTTTTATATAAATAGGGGGTTGTAAAATGATACTTTTCTACCAGGAGTTGTTACTTTTTATATAAACAGGGGTTGTAAAATGATACTATTAACCACAGGGGTGAGAATGTAATTTTTCAAACGTTAGAGGATGATATGTATTAAATACAAACCTCATGGGATGTCAGTGTAATTTACTCATATTTTAAACAAATTTTTTTTACATTTTAGATGCACTCAACTTAAATATACCTAAAAAGTAAAATATTTATAAAAAAATATTTTAAAAAATTAATTAATACACAATAATACAAAATGTACTGAATTTTTATATTTTTGATAGTTATTGAATTTAAAAAAAAATTAACAAATATTATATGTTTTAAGTGTATTTATGTCAGATTTATTTAAAAACTAAAAAAAATTATTTTAAATATTAAAAAAATTCAGTGAAAACAAAAAAAAATAAAATAAAATAAAAAAGTCAATTTTGGATATAAATAGATATATGAAACCAAACAAGATATATGAAAAAAAATTACATTTTATTTTTTAAAATAGATGATATTTAAGAGTTTATAAACCATCTTGTTTATAAAATAAAATGTAATTTATTTATAATATTTTGAAAAGTTAATTTTTTGCACAAACGGTCTTGATCACGAAGTTTACGAGATGAAGAGGGCCTAGAGTGCAACTCACAAAATGAAATATGAAGGATAATAGTATGAAAATGAGCTATATTTCTTCTTCTTTTTTCCGGGCTAACTGCGATGATCAAATTATATAGTATGAGTTGAAATTGCGTTGTATTCTCTTTACTAACGCCATATATTTAACTAAATTATTGATTATTTTTATATTAATTTGGCCTATTTAAAATCGTGTTAGTTGAAACAAAAAATTATGTATCTTTTTTTAATGAGAGAAAAAAAAATTAAGTACAAAAAATTGATTTTTACCAAACATAATTCACTTACTTGACAATGTGTTAGACACGTTTTTTTAATTTTATTTTACTGCTTTTGTTGAATTTTCTTTCTTTTGGGTCAAAAAAAAGTTTCTGTTAAAGTTTTCATTACCTAAGTTGCAATACATTTGCATAAGTTTTTTCTTGAATGACCTTATCTTATTTTTTTTCTTTATTGTTTTTTTCTTTTTTTTTTGGGCCCATGATTGTATTATTGGTATTTATTGCAGAGGTGCAATCTTTTAATGGACCTATTTTGAATGAAGTAACTTTCCATACATTTTAGTGATTTTTTATTATAGAGCCAATGCAAATAATGCTTATTTTGAATTTTGCCTGGAAACATTCTGTTTTGCTCTGAAGTCCATTGTGTAGTGTTTTGCTTTGATTAATTTGATGGAAGGGTTGTGATGGTGAGATAGTGGCGAATGGTTGTCTTCAAGAAATACTATATGAAATTTGGACACAGTTGATTCTTATGCTATGAATGAGAAGAATATACAAATGAAGCATTGATTCTGATGACTGCTCATCAATGTTTGTGTGCATATTTTTGTACATGGTGCAGCTCAATTCTACAATATTGTGTGTATTTAGAACTGGAAAGACAGGCTCTAGTAGTCGTTCTGAAAAACATATATGGTCCTAGAGAAGGTTGAGAATTAGAAGAAGTAGAAAGTGATTAAACATAATATTATATTGTGAATTCAATAGTTTTAAACTGCACTTTTTGTCTGATGATTAAGTATGTAATAGGAAAATAAAAGGTTGTTATCACTGTGGGCATTCTGGGGGATATGTTGGGTGTTTAGTTCTGTCATTGCAGTAATCATAGTACATATAATTGCGCTTTATGACTTGATGCCTTCTTTCTTGGTTAGGAGACAGTTGCCAGTAATTCTTTCCATTCCACCAAAACTTCGGAGAATTGCATGATTTTCTGTGAGAGCTGTCATAGGGGCATCCATCAATGGCAAAGCCCCGAAAGTGACTTATAAACGGTGCATGAGCCCAAATGATTTTAGTTTTTCCACCATTCGTCGCCCAACTATCTCCGTCCCATATAGTTGCCATTAGTTGCATTGGTTGTGCTGGGAAGCCAACTCCATCGTGTCTGTTGTTCTTGAAAACTCGAATGGGATATTCATCAACAAAATAACTGTTGGGCGGAAACGCGATTAACAAAATAAGTTAGAACTCAACAGATAGTGATTTAAGAAGTGTGATGTCATTTTCAATTTCGATGTTTTTGTGTTTTTAGAAACAAAAATAATGGAAAGTTTGAAAATATCAAAATAAATAAATAAATAAATTTCATCTTTGTGAAGACATATTTAAAAGACAACTTAAAAATGTTTCATTGAAACAGGGTATTTTCAATTTTCAAATATAATGATTTTGTTTCTTTTGAAAATAGCTAGCTTTGAGAAGCAGTTTGTAGAATAAGTTTATTTTTCAAATTGGAATGTGTTTAGGTAGTTGCCTTACACTATTTGATGTTGGTTCCATAGGATTTTGTAAGTATGGAAGTTCGCAGTTGGATCAAACCAAAGATAGATCCTCTGCTCTCTACCCCCTTTTCCTTTTAAAAAGGCATTCGTCTGAACTCCGATGGGCTTCCCTTTTCTGTTGCCCAAGAACTCAAAATCCAATTCACTATCTTTCGATTTCAACTGCCAAAAGAAAGGGAAAAAAAAAAGAATTTACATTATGTTATCAGTGACACCTTTTAAGTAGGAGTTTCTTGCACTAGATCGCCTTTTTTGTTTTTGTTTTTTGTGTCAGTGATAACCTTGAACCAAGGAGCACAAATATATATGCAATTGTAAACTTACATAGAAGGCTGTTACGACTCCTCCGGAGTCATTGGCTGGTAGCTTAATGTTTATATGGAAGAACCCAGAAGTATAATTGAACTTGGATTTAATTCCAGATCCTGATTGGTGACAAAACATCATTGTCACAAAGAATAAATCTTGGCTCTATATATCATAGCTTGGTTAACAGTTAAAATTTGAACACACTTTCGAAATGTGCTATGAACTAAGACACAATCTATTTGAAACAAGTTGATGAGCTTTACTCTTCCATTATTTGTTTGCGTGTTTTTTTTTTTTTTTTCACATTTTAATTACAACATGGAATATTTTGGTGATTGTACACTTAGAAAAGCTTGAAAATAGATGTGTTATTCTATAATTTTCCTTTTTGGATGATTATTCAGTAGTCCTAGAGTATTCTATAATTTTCCAGTTTTTTGATAGAATTTATATTTGGGGAAAGAAATGGAGATTATGAATGAGATAAATGGAAAGCGAAAAATTTAGTAAATTCAGTTTACATGGCACCTGATATGTAATTTCAATAATAAGGAAACACTGCTAAGTAATGAGTTAGACTTATCTGATAATTTTAACGAGTGACAAAAAGTGGGGTAAGAGGCGACCATTGGATTCATCGAGAGAGAGCCCGATTTCTCTGCCTTGATGAAATGGCAAGATATGTTGAGCTCCATATAAAACCTCGTAGTTATGGTCATAGGTTGGAACGTTATGTGTACCTGCAAATACTACCACCCTCAAGCCCACTAAATCAAATATAGGGAAAATCATCAGTAGATTCAAAAAGCCCATCATCTAATGCAAAAAAAATTTGCTGAATTGGTGTACCATGTTTCTCTCTCATGTGTTGTTTCTTATATAATAAAGATGGGTCAGTGTGTCCCTCAAAATAGAAGACCTGCAAGGATCGTGTGACCCAAAGTTTGTGTCCTCTTCAATAAGTAACTCAAAAAAGTGTCATAGGTTGGAACGTTATGTGTACCTGCAAATACTACCACCCTCAAGCCCACTAAACCAAATATAGGGAAAATCATCAGTAGATTCAAAAAGCCCATCATCTAATGCAAAAAAAATTTGCTGAATTGGTGTACCATGTTTCTCTCTCATGTGTTGTTTCTTATGTAATAAAGATGGGTCAGTGTGTCCCTCAAAACAGAAGACCTGCAAGGATCGTGTGACCCAAAGTTTGTGTCCTCTTCAATAAGTAACTCAAAAAAGTGTCCCTCAAAATTGTGTTCTTGTCACGGCAACTTACTTAACTCAAGAATATCTTGTTTTTGTGCGCGTATGAGAGAGAAAGGAGCATTGACTACAAGAGAATTGAGTTATTCATAATTAGTTTGAGTTTTGTTTTTGAGACAGAGAGTGAGTTTGAGCCTAATTTAAGTTCAAGCTAAAATAAGCTTAACTTGGTAAATGGAAATGACATTTATCATTAGATGAATTTTACTATTTTATTTTGCATCTTATGTGAATGTGCACAATAAATTATATTTGTACATGTAAGACCTATCATATTATATTTTAGTGATGCGCAGCAATCTTCATACATACAAAATACATTATTTATGAATATAATAAGATAAAAAAAATATTTATGATATTTATAATAACACGATTTTTAATTTCAATTTGCGTTTCAAATGGAGTTCCAGCTTGATTATTTAAAGAATTGTTCAATTGCATATTTAATTTGAACTTAACTAAAATTGAATTAGTAAATGAATTCAAACACTGAACTACTTATGCACATACGGGCATATGAAAGCATTTTTAATTGGAAAGTTGTTATGAACTTCCCATATTGTTTAAACGGCCACCCCTCATTCTTCTCCCCTAAATCCTAGAATTTAAATCTCTAGATCTATTTCTCTTGCACATGGTGTGGGGCTTGGTAGGTGTCGCGGTGGTGGGGCTGGGGAAGTGGGGTCGCGGTGGGGGAAGGGGTCGTAATGATCGGAGGTAGCGACTCAAGTGACCAATGGACGTGATTATGACAAAATTACCCATTATAATTTTTCGTTAGAGAGCAACAACTACTAATTCAATGATAAAAGTCTACCAACCCCAACTTAAATTCGAATTTGAGGACATACAACCTTGCATAAGTTATGCCAAAAATTAATATTTGGGAATCTCTATAATAGTTAAAAAGTCGTAAATTAAAAAGTTAAACAATTACACAAAAAGTTAAAGATTCGTTTTTCTCTTTATTTTTTACATGTGTGGGGACATATTTTGTGATTGATAGCACGTGGACAAGGTGACGCCGAAGTGTTAGCCGCGGTGCCACGTGGCTTGGTCATGACGCCGAAGTAACCGTGGTTAGGGCGAGGTTGTCTGCAGAGATACCGGAATCTAAGATAATCAGATAAGGGGTAAGAGTCCTAGAACAAGAGAGGATCTCAGTCTGAATAAAGATAAAGCTTTTAGGGAGTTTATCCCTATCCGGCTGAGGGTCTAGGATAGGCATTGAGCCTAAGTCCACTAAAGTGAGGCTTCTACAGAGAACATGTCAGTGTTGGTTATAAAAGCAAGACACCCTCGTGGGTCTCAGGTATGTGTAATATACTGTGAGCAGTAAGTTGTTTCTTGTAAGTTAAGCATAGTTTGCTATCTTTGAGAGATATTTGATTACTGACTTGATTGTTAGAGTGCCCCCGGGTGGACAAACCAACCGCCAGATTCTTATCTTTCTGTGATAGGTTGTTCGGGCTTAATCTTTCTGACGGTGCTCTCTAGCTGAGTTTCCCGTTTCGTTGTGTGGTCAGAAATCAACACCCACAATGTGGCGCCGTCTGTGGGAAAGTAAGAAGAATATATGGCTAATGACGGGCAGAAAGAGAAGATTGGGGATGACATCCCTAGTGGGAGTGGTAAACATGCCGATCCTAACATGGAAGAAGAAAATCGTGATAAAACACCACAGGATCAGATTCCCGGGGAGAAGGATGTCGACTAAGAGGGAGATGCTCCGTAGAAAGCAGGCCGAGACGAGTATTACAATGAAAGTGACCTCTAGGTATGGAAAGATAGATGCTTGAGGAGGGACGGCGAGATGAAGGGAATGACAAATAAATTGGCAGACCTACAATCGGTTGTGAACTTCATGATGCAGAACAACGTCATGCAACCACCGTTTCCATTGAAGGACAAACTGATTCCAATGGCCAAGAACGGCGCCCAGAAAGGGTGGCAGAAAGCAATTCCAGTAGTTCTTTAGCATGACAAAGTGAAGGAACGCTCACATTGGCCTTCACGAGATGCCGGGCGAGCAGAGTCAATGAAAGGAGAGTCCTAGAGGACGCCTTATACCGAGGGAACTTATGTCAGGGAACATCGGTATGTTCAAGAGAAGGAACTTTGCTTCAATACGGTGAATGAAGAGAAATCCAAGAGGACATAGAATGACACCGGAAGCAGCACACCAAAAAGGCTGAAATCCGTTGACAGCCGAGCTCCTGGTCAGACTAAGGAGGATTTGAGGGACTACCTTCAAAGGAAGCGGCAAAATACCAAGGTCACATTCCTTGTCAAGCTGAGAACGCCATTCTCAGTGGAGTTAGATAGGTCTGAGGCCCCAAAAAGGTTCCATATGCCTAGGTTTCATATATATGATGGTAAGTCCGATCCGAACTTTCACGTCGGCTTATATTTAAATTCAATGGCTTTGTATACCAGGAACGAACCGTTGCTATGCAAGGTTTTCCCCTCATCCTTTGGGGAAATCACTTCAGATTGGTTTCACAAGTTGCCGAAAGGAGCTGTGAGGAGTTGGAAAGGCCTGGCCGAGATATTTGTGGGTAGGTTTGTTACAAACAAGTTGCAGCCACTGAGGGTAGACTCCTTGATGGCTTTGGAAATTTGCGAGGGAGAAAGCCTCAGGTCTTATGCCAAAATGTATTATGAGGTGTTCAACCGAATACTAGGATGTAACCAGGAGTTGGCGGCCGTGTCTTTTAAGAACGGCTTGGAGGATGATTGTACGCTTCGGAAGTCATTGGCAAAGACTACCAAAGAGTATGGAGGAGCTCATGGCAATGATCGAGAAATATGCCAGAGCAGAAAAAGATATGCCAGGAACAAAGGCGTTGAAGTAGGAAAAGAGAAACGTCTTGCCAAAGCGAGGTCGAGGTAATGCTGGATTTAACAGGCAATAATCAGGGCTGAGGGTTGCACAGGCAGTCACCACTGTGTTCCGGATCTCGGTTTATAAAGTTCTAGAAAGGATCAAGAACCAGTCGTATTATAGAACGCCGGAGAAGATTCTTGGTGAGTTTATAGGGAGAAGCCTTGGGAAGCACTGTGCTTACCACAATGAGGATAGGCACCTGACTTAGGGGTGTTGAGCCCTGAAGATGTATTTGGAAGACCTGGTCAGACAAGGTTACTTAAGGAACCTAATAGATGAGGCCAGAATGAGGGAAGAGTAGGCGACACTGCCCCAGGCATCGACAGCGCCGCCTCCATCACAACCACAGCAAGTAGAACCTCAGGCGATCAATATGATCCACTTGAAGGTTAATAAGAATGATATACGAGGAGAGACCCAAAAGGTGAAACACTTACGGCATGTATATCAGGTCCAGCAAAAGAGGCCTAGGACAAACGAGTGCCAAGGGCCCAAGGTGTCCTTTACTGAGGAAGACTTAGACATGGTGCAGCATCCACACAACGATACTCTGGTAGTGACCCTCAAGATTAAGGAATGCCAGGTAAGGCACATTCTGATCGACCAAGGCAGCTCTTGTGACATCAAGTATGTCCGATGTTACAAGGAGCTCGCCCTTCATCAAGATGATTTGGAGCAGTCCAACGGCCTAATGGAACGCCGGCATGGCCCCTAGGTGCAATAGATTTAGAGGTACAGGCAGGCACCAGAAAGGTAAGCACAGAGTTTACAGTAATTGACACCCCCTCTCCTTAAAATGTTATCTTGGGAAGGCCATGGTTGCATGTAATGAAGGTTGTTCCCTCAATGTTGCACCAACTGTTGCGGTTCCCAATAGAACATGGAATTGAAGAAGTTAGAGGGGATCAGGTACAGGCAAAAAATTGATCCATGGCAGCAATGAAATCCACCTGCAACGTGCGAGAGAAAGAAATAGTAAAAATTGAAGACGAAGACATGGAAGTTATTGACAATGTCAGCAAAGAACCAGTCGAGAAGAGTGAGGAAGCCTTGAAAAAAATTCTAGTCTAAGAGGGAGATGAAGAGCGCTTCTTCCTTCACGGCTCAAACTTGGCCGAGGATGAGGAAAGAGAGTTAGAAGCTTTCTTACGGGCCAACATAGAAGTATTTGTCTGGACGCCATACGAGATGCCAGGCATTGACCCCAAGGTCACCTTCTATATGCTCAATGTAGACAGGTCGGCTAAACCAATCATCTAGCGAGCGAGGAAGCCGACGTTGATGCATGTTGAGGTAGTTGAGGAGGAAGTAGACAAATTCTTGGAAGACAAAGCCATTCATGAGATGAACTACCCTACTGTAGACGTCCCTGAACGCCCCGGGAGGGATAGGTCCCGTTCTGTTCATTTGGGGTCACTACAGTTCAGACTCAATGTCACGGTCCTGTATCTAATCTCTCAGAGTGAATGCAAGACCATGAAATCATTAAAGAGTCCAAATCCGGCAAATCTTTTTGAAACAGATTTTTGAAAGAAAAGTGCCAAACATGGACTGCTTTTCAGATACAGAGTCGCCACCTAAAATTTTTATTTGGGAAATTTAGGAAACCCTGACTCTTGCTAAGGCCACGTGTCCGTCATCACCAAAGTTGCCTCGGCTCGGGAACTTGGGTACGATTGGGAAGGTCATTCTGAGCACCCCGCTCGCCGATCAAAGATCGCCTCTATAACATGATACTGGGTTTTGAAAAATTATGTTTTCTTTATTCCGGTTATTAGCCTAGATTTACTATGTGATGCGCACAGCATACAAATATAGACTGGTCGCCTGAATTTGGAACGAAACATCTCATGTTTGTTTTAAAATGGTTTGTTACTCGCCAGTAGGCTTTAAAATGCAGATTTTGCCACCCTCAGGTGGGCTTAGAAAACAAGGTGATTTGCCACTTCTAGTGGGGCTTAAAACTCACAATTGATGAATTGTTCCAATTCAAAATAACCCAACCTTCACCCACAGGACTCAGGCAGTTATATCATATTAAGCACTTAGCCCTCTGGGACATACTATCATGGCAGTCACTCAACACACTGCAAGGAGCTAAAGCAAAAAACGCTTAACCAGACTCCAAGCCAAAAACAGAAGCTAATTAGGCCAAATCCATGCATGATCCTAACTAACAGAAATGCCTAATGCAAACATGCAAAATGAACAAAGATAGCTCGGCTATTCTAAAGAGGCATATGAAATGCTACAACTAACAAGTATTAACTCGGAATTGAAATACAATGCAGTTAGTATGGTGCGCCGAAGCCGGTGTATTGTAAGCAGATGAATGATGCAACATGCAAGCATTACTGTATGCTAATTGAAACATGCCCTAATCTAACATCATAAGCTGGTAAATAAAGAGGAGAAAGACGTGGGGTTGGAAGACTAACATCACACTCACGCACACTTATTACAATGCGCCCTCGCTCGGAGGGTCCCAATAAATAATACGTCGAAATGAATAATTAAATATTACAAAACCCTAATTAATTAACAAATTAACTAGGAAAGCGATAAACTAGCATGTAACCTATTGGACTGCCTCAGCTCTGTTCGAATGGTGAATGATGCATGCTTGAATTGCCTGCGCGCGAAATCCATTGCGATGCCCGATTCGCCTCTGTTTGCAATTAATCCCGGAATGTTGTGCAAGGCTCTAAGGGCTGATTTCTGGTTTGCTGCAACACGAGAGCAACAAAGGGGCATGGTAAAGTTATTTTCATATATGTATGCATGACTACTCTTCGGGGAGTGTAGTCCTCGATCCTCGTGCCACCAATCACGCATATCGATGCATGCTGGCTGAGGAGTCGAATTGCACGACTCAATATGAGATGAATGTACATGAAAACACAACAAGACCTAAACTCCATCATAGGTAATCTGGAGTGTCGGCCACAGGAAATTGAGACACGTTCAGTCACTCAGAGTACGAAACGTCCCTCGTTTCCCGTGCTCAGGCTAACTCCTATCCCAAACACAATGCGAATGAGATGACATACATAATGCGACTAACATACAACCTAGCATACGCAATGCTATGAAATGGCATACACAATGCTCAATGTAACATGGCATTCATAAAGCTCTAACAGGCAACCTAGCATACGCAATGCTATGAATTGAAAAGGCATACACAATGCATAATGGACTTATACCAACATGAGTGGACCTCAGCCACACTCACATCAGTAGCCATTAGATGAAAATGAGACGACCAAAATGCGTGCACACATGCACGCATACCGAGGACCGAACCTAAGGCATCAAATGCCACTCTACCAAAGCATGGCAAGGGATGAAAGATGGCCTATGAACATGTAATTTCCAGCACTAAAACATGATGCTAAATGATCCCGAAACATGGAAATATGGCACCCGATGCATGGAATAAGCCCCGAAACTCAAAATTAGTCCAATGCATTGAACCACAAGTATACAAAGCAAGTATTATTTGATCATGAAGTCTAAAGACAGAGCCAAGGCAGTCCCAAAACATGGACATTTCCAGTTTAAAGCATGGCCAAAAGATGCTAACATGATGGACTAAAATAGCATGCAACATTGGCTAGTAAGCATGGTTTACATGGCATGTATATGAAGCAAATGAGAACTCATCAAATTAGCCAAAAACAGTGAATAAAACATGCCAAAATATGCCCAAATAATCGCTGAAATGCAGCCAATGCATGCAAAAATGAGGGGCTTCTTTGGAAGGCCATTCAAGGGGTTGTTAAGCACATACAAGATAGGCACTTAGCATAGCAAAACCACCTTTGGAAATGAGATATGAAAGCCCTAAAACTCACAAAATTGGCCCTAAAATCAGTCAAGGAAGCATACGATGAAAGGCCCCCTCAAAAGGCCTTGAATGGAATTGTTCTATACATGCACTATAGACATAAAATATGATCAAAAGGGCCCCGGAAAGACCTAAGGCAGACCTTAAAACCCACAAAATTGGACCCAAAAAGTGACTTCAAAGCATGCAAAATAAAGCCCCTTTGGAAAGCCAACAAGACCACCAAACAAGACAAGGAGAGAGGGGGTCACTCCTCTCTAATTTTGGCTCTCAAAAATGCATTTAAGCCACTGAAAATCCATTGGATTTCAGTGGCTAAGAGGCCAAACCATGGCCAATGCAAGTGCTCTAATGCATAGCCCTAATCATGAAGAGATGAAGCATGCATAGGGGGAAGATGACCCCAAACAGAAAAGAGACCTTAACCAAACTTGAAGAGGAGATTAAAAAAAGATCTTTTTCAGTTTATGACAAATCTAAAAAATGTTCGCAAGTAAGGCTAAAATATGATGCAAAAAAAGCCTACAAAGAGGGACAAGGCATACAAGGGTGTAGGAGACCTCAAACAGAAAAGTGTCTTTAATAAATATTTAAGAGGAGCTCAAAATATGACACTTTTTAGTTTATGACAAAGTCCAGAAATACTTGCAAGTAAGGCTAATCAATGGAGCAAAAAGATACAAGTTTAAGGGAAATAGGTGCTTACCCTTGAAGAGCAGCAAAGCTGGAGCTTTTGGACCAAGTTGGTGAACCTTTAACCCTTGAAAATTAGTTCCAAAGTGCTGGAATGGATGGAGGAGGTGTGGTGCTAAGGGTTGTAGTGCAAATGGTCCAAGAAAACTAGGGTTTTGGAGCTTGGAATAATGAAAATGGAGGATGGAGGGTGTATGCCTTAAGCAAAAATGTTCAACCCCTAGCAATGGAAGAGGAGAGAGAGGTGTAGAGAGAGAGGCTCTCAAAACTTGCTCAAGAAGTCCTTCAAAAATGAGAGATATAACTCATATATAGCCCAAAATTAGAGTTGGCTCGAAAATATTTGATTATAGGACAGCTGGAGGTTGTGGAAGACAGCTGGAGGGAAAATATCTATCAATTCTAAGATTTCTAGGCATAAGTGGTCGGCCGGCCACTTTTTATGGTCGGCCAACCACCTTTCCTGGTCGGCCGACCACTTTTTCAGGAGAGGGTGGTCGGCCAGCCACCTTTTCGGGTCGGCCAGCTAGTGTAGAAAAATTCTGCTTTCCAGGTCCAACTTCAAATGGCCATAACTCCTTCATTTGAACTCCTTTTCAGGTCTTTCTTGTGTCCAAATTGAAGCCCCGGAAGTTATATTTCCAATGGAACCAGCTTTGCATTAAAATTACTGCTGTGAAAAAAGTTATGCCTGTTTTGGTGAAGCCGCGCAGATTCGGTCCAACCGGATTCATGCCGAACTTCTCCCAAACTAGTTTTCTTCTCTCCTTTCCTCTTTTCTTCAACTCCAAACCCCTAAACAAAGTGTTTTGAAAGATTTTTCAAAGATTTCATCTCTCATTCATTCATTTCTACTTTGTCCTTGCTCGGTTTAACAAAAAGCGCAACATTTGACAAAATGCGAGCCTCGGAACATCGTAGGAACTTTGTTTCAAAAAATATTTTGAAAGAGAGGGTTTTAAGGTCTAAAAATCATCCAAAATAGCTTTGGTCCAAAATGGGGTATAAGGTTGGAATTTGTCTCTCTCTCCTCTTGCTGAAGAAATTAAACCTTTGCCCTGAACACCTTTCTCCACCATGTAAACCATCAGTCGCATCCAAGTCTTAAGGGCGGTCAAAAATGAGGTTTCTACACCTACTTGGTTGTCCAACACTGTAGTAGTGAAAAAGAACATCAAGTGGAGGGTTTGCGTTGATTTCACCAGCCTGAATAAGACTTGTCCCAAGGACAATTTTCCATTGCCCAAAATTAATCAGTTAGTAGACGCCACTTCAGGGCATGAGAGGATGAGCTTCTTGGATATTTACAGAGGATACCACCAGACAGCAATGTATCCCTCTGATGAGGAGAAGACTGTATTTATCACTCCAAAAGGGCTATACTGCTACAAAGTGAAGCCTTCTGGGTTGAAAAATGCAAGAGCAACCTACCAGAGGTTAGTAACCAAGATATTTAGACATCTGATTGGCAAGACAGTAAAAGTGTATATTGATGACATGGTCGTGAAGACCAAAGAATCTGAGAATCATCTAGCCGACTTGAAGGCAATTTTTAACATCCTGAGGACATATCGGCTGCGACTCAATGCTTCAAAATGCACATTTGGAGTCGGGTCTGGTAAGTTCTTGGGATACTTAGTTACCAGAAGGGCCATCGAAGCAAGCCCGGATCAAATCAAGGCCATCCTTGTCTTGAAAAGCCCGACATCGGCAAAACAAGTGTAGATGTTGATTGGAAGGGCCGCAGCCCTAAACAGGTTTATAAGCAGAAGTATTGATAAGTGTAAACCATTTTTTAGTTTGTTAAAGAAAGCCACAAATTTTTTATGCACAGAGGAGCGCAAAGTAGCCTTGGCCAACTTAAAAAAGTACCTGACAACAGCTCCGGTTCTGTCAAATCCAATTCATGGAGAAGAATTGTTCTTATACTTGGCAGTTTTAGAGCACACTGTATGTGCAGTGATAATCAAAGAAGAGAAAGAAGAACAAAGGGCTATGTACTATGTGAGTAAAACCCTAGCAAGTGCAGAGACTAGGTATTTACCCCTGGAAAACTTGACACTAGCCTTGGTGATGGCTTCAGAAAAACTGAATCACTACTTCCAAGCCTATAAGATTGTGGTATTAATTGAGCATCCTTTGAAGTCCCTATTACCATAAGGAGATCTGACAGGCAGGGTAGTCGGATGGGCAGTAGTGTTGGGCCAATATAACTTAGAGTTTAGGCCCAAAACAACAATTAAGGGCTAGGTTTTGGCCAACTTTGTGGCCGAGTTCACACCTGGTGCCATCCCATGTCAGACTCCGGTGAGCCACAGCTTGGGGTGCCCAAGAGAGCAAGAAGAAACCTAACTGGGGCCAAAGAACTCCACTCAAGCAAAACAGAAGAAATAAGAGAAACCAAAGCCCTGCGACATCTACATCGGCCACTCCTTCCGCCTGTTTGTTGATGGAAATTCAAACAGTCAAGGAGCAAGGGCCGGAGTAGTGTTAGTATCGCTAGATGGGCGAATACTAGAACAGTCTATTCGTTTGGGGTTCTCAAACAATGAAGTAGAGTATGAGGCACTAATCGTAAGGTTGAAGTTAACATCAGCAATGGAAGCTGATGAGGTGGTAATCTTTTGTGACTCTCAACTCATTGTGAATTAGGCAACAGACGAGTGTGCAGCCTGAGATGAGAGAATGATAGCCTATGTCAAAAAAGTTGTTAGACTACTAGCATTGTTCCAAGATTGCCGACCACAATAGGTTAGCTGAGATGATAACAATCATGCCGATGCCTTGGCTAACCTGGCTAGTGCAATAAAATCAGGGGAGGCAAGGACAATAATGGTTGATTATTTGTCAGGCCCAAGTGTGGAACCACCGATCATAGAGTACGAAGCAATGTGTATGGAGATCGGTCCAAGTTGGATGGATGCAATAGTGATGTTCCTTAGGGATGACAAACTACTAGACGACCGAAAAGAGGCATATAAGACCATGTTGAAGTCAGCCAGGTTCAGCCTAACATTAGATGACCACCTCTATAGGAGATCCTTCACTGGTCCCCTTTTGAGGCGTGTGCATCCTTCCCAGGTTGAAGACTTCTTGTATGAAATACATAAAGACGTATGTGGAAGCCATGCTGGGGGCAGATCACTTGCTCATAGGACCATTACTCAAGGGTACTAGTGGCCCTATATATAGAAGGATGTAGAAGCCTACGTCAGAAAGTGCGAGAAGTGTCAAAGGTTTGTACCTTTGATACATCAACCAGTAGTAGATTTGAACCCAGTATTTAGCCCTTGGCCATTTGCCCAGTGGGACATGGATCTTGTTGGACAACTGCCCCAAGCAACTGGGCAAAATAAGTTTATACTGATAACAACTGATTACTTCACAAAGTGGGTAGAAGCTGAACCCCTTGCGAAGATTCGAGATATTGATGTGAAAAACTTCATATGAAAAAACATCATCACCACGTTTGGGATCCCAAGGGCAATAATAGCAAAAAATGGTACACAATTTGATAGTAATCTAATCAAAAGCTTCTGTGCAAAGACAAAATCAAGAACTACTACTCTATTCCAAGTTTCCTCGGAGCAATGGTCAGGCAGAAGCATCCAATAAGACTATCTTGAATGGGATCGAAAAGAGGCTAGAAGCAGTAAAGAGAAAATAGGTAGAAGAGTTGCCCAATGTACTCTGGGCATATCGGACTACGCTGAGAAGATCAACTGGGAAGTCTCCATTTGCCATGGCTTATGGCACTGAAGCAGTTATCCCACTGGAAGTCGGCATCCCAGGGATCAAAACCCAGGGAGTAGAGAATGAGACTAATGACGCATTCCTGGCCTAAGATCTGGACTTGTTAGAAGAGAAAAGAAAAAGAGCAGCAATTCGGCTGGAAGCATACCAGCAACAACTTGTTAGGGCTTATAACAAAAAAGTCAACCCAAGAGAGTTTAAGATTGGGGACCTCGTCCTAAGAAAGGTTGTCAACAACAAGAAGGATCCTAGGGAGGGAAAACTTGGCCTAAACTGGGAGGGCCTTATAGGATCATTTCGGTTGCCGGTAATGGGGCATATTGGCTTGAAGACACTGAGGGCAAAGAGTTACCAAGACCCTGGAACATTTGCAATTTGAAGTTTTTTTATCATTAGTTTTTTTGTTTTTACAAAGTTTATGTCATAATTTTATTAGCCGAAGTAATAATAAAATGTTAGTTTGATTTTTGAATTTGAAATTTTGCGATAGGACTAACTAATCCTATGACGATGTTTCCAAATGAAATATGACGAATAACTTAGACTTAGGCCTCGTTTGGTAAGTGATTTTTTTAGCCAAAAAGTCAAAAAGTTACTAAAAAAAATAAAAAAGCCAACAACCTATACCAAAAAATCAAAGATTTCATTTTCTCTCTACTTTTTGCACATCTTTTCATAAAAAACCAAAAAGTCATCCCAAACATACTAGTTTTTCTTACATCATATTTCAGCCAAAAAGTCAAAAAGTTATTAAAAAAACATGTTCCCAAACGAGGCCTTATTATACGGTAGAGTTGAATTATACTTGCATATAATAGAATTGAACTAAGTTGGCAATGTTTCCAAATCAAACAAGACGAATAACTTAGACTTATTACATGACAGAGTTGAATTATACTTGCATATAATAGAGTTGAACTAAGTTGACAATATTTCCGATTCAAACAAGACGAATAACTTAGACTTATTACATGACAGAGTTGAATTATACTTGCATATAATAGAGTTGAACTAAGTTGAATTAACCGAGACTTGCCTTGTTGACAGAGTTAAACTCGGAATGGAACCAAGTACATTTCAGACAAACCAAGGGTGAACACCTTTGTTAGTCTTTGTTTGAATCTAACTTTGGCAACAGACCATAAACGCATAATGTGAGCTTAAGTGGAACTTAGGGCAGGAAGCAGAGCCTGAAATAAACTTAAGAGTTTGGGACTTGTTGAAATTTTTTAGAAAAATTTACAAGTTAAAATGGGCTTAACACTTGTTGAAATTTCAGAGAAATTTACAAGTTGGAGTTGGCCGAGGTAATCATAAAAGATGTATTTGAGATACATATTACCCTAGGTGACCTACCATGTTGTCAAGGTTGGAAGGATGAAGTCTTGATAGAAGACAGTAAGTGGAAATGAAGGAGCAATACTTAACCAAATAAGTTTAGAGAAACAACACTTGTAAAAAATATTTATTTGAAATATTTTTTAAGTGTTAGCTGAGGTGTTTTCAAGTGTTGGCCGAGACAAACAGTCCATATTCATATTCGAGGTACTTTATCCCGAAGTGATTACACAAGTTAAGGTGTACTTTGGAGAAATACAAAAAAATATTCTAAGTATGAAAGTATGAAAGGCATAGGAGGAAAGCAATGAAGCATATATGAAGCAAATTATTCAACACTTAGGAAAAAAGAAGGCAAACATACATTCAGGAAAAACTTATTCAAAAACAAAAAGGCACTTCGGCCTGGCAAAAGAGATTACTTGTCCAAAAGTTACAGAAAATTACAAACTATCCAAAAGTAAAGTTCAAAGTCAAAACTCCTAAGCATTGGCATTGTGGGCATTGGTCTCAGATTGCTTAACCTCGATTGTTGGCATTGTGTCAGCCTCGGTTGGCAAGGTAGCTTCCTTCTCTGCCACTATCTTAGTGTCAATTTCCAAAAGTATTTGTGTGATGCCCCTGTTCCATAGTATGCTAATTGGTTCTTAATTTGAGTATGATTATGTGTTTAATATGATTTCATGTGCCATTGTGTGAAAATATGTGGTTTTGAATTTCTACCTGTTCACCGTAGGAATATCTGTTTGATTATTTGCTTTGAAAATTAAATTGAGGGCCTTATCAGCCACAGAACCCAAAATTGATTGTGCCATTGTGATTAGCGTAATCTTTAGAACCTATGGTGAAATTTAATTGAAAATTTATTCGGGTCGGATTAAATTGATGATTTAGTGCCCAATTATTTAATGTTATTAAATAATAGTTAGTGGGGCCTTATATGTGAGGCCATATACACTCTCATTGCCTCTTTTGAACTCAAAAATCTGATTTTGGTGCCTTGAGAGAGAGAGAGAGGGAGCCGGCCATAGAGATAGAAGGGAGAGACTTGTGCAATTTTGACTCAAGCTTGGATATTTGAAGTCTAGTTCAAGAATTAACCATAGATTGGGCTTCTAGGTAAGCAATTGATTCTTGAATTCATGAGTTTAATGTGTAATCTTGTGTGTTCAAGGTTTGTTTGTAACCAAGAGCATGAGTTGAGTTGGTTTTGTTGGAATCAAAGCATGATATGTGCATGCATGCAAAGAATACCTATGGAATCACAAAATCTAGCATGTAAATTGTAAATTATGAAAGAGAATTAAAGCTTGATATGTGCATGCATGTAAAGAATACCTATGGAATCACAAAATCTAGCATGTAAATTGTAAATTATGAAAGATTGGAAGTGTAATCCCACATGCAAGCATGTTTTTGTTGAGTTTCATGGGAATGAGCACTAATTGCATCATTAGAAGTGAAAATGAAAGTCAAAATGGGCATGCGTGTTGTTTATTAAAAATGGGAACCTTGAATACATGAGTTTGAGTTAATTTAGGGCATGCATGTGATCAATTCACGAAATTGAACTCTATTGTGCTGTAATTTGGTGTTGGTACCATGTTAGTACTAGCATATGTGAGATTTGAGCCATCATATGCAATAAATGTGGTTGAAATGTCGAATTTGAGCTCAAGAACACATTCTAGAAAACCCAGAAATTTGATGTCCGCTCGAACGGGGAAACCGCCGCTCGAGCATGAATTTCGTGCTCCCAGTATTTTCTGCAGACCATAATGTCCGCTCGAGCGGAAAAGTCCACGCTCGAGCGGGGGGCTATGTAGGATGGACTTCCGCTCGAGCGTCCAAGTTCCACGCTCGAGCGTAAAAATGACATAACCAGTACTTTTGGAAACCTCATGGGTCCGCTCGAGCGGGGACCTTGCTTTCTGAAATTTTGAAAGTGTATTCTGTGTTTCGTTTTCCATTCTCTTTCACTTGCAAACACTCTTAGGCATGCATTAAGCATTGTAATTGAGTTAAAGAGATAAGAATGGAGCCTAAAGAGGAATATGTGAATTAAAGAACGGATTGAATCGGTTGTGACCCTTATTTGCTATATGATGTGTAGGATCAAGCTCCAGGGCAAATCCACAAGCCGATCACTGTGAGCAATATCGATATTTGAAACTCGTCATTTGTAATTGCTTATTTCTTATAAGCCTTATAAGTTGTTGGTTTGAATTATGGACAAATGTTTGATATGACATGAATGGATGGGCCGAAGGCTGTTTTGACATGAATGGATGGGCCGAAAGCCGTTTTGACATGAATGGATGGGCCAGAGGCCGTTTTGACATGAATGGATGTGCCAGAGGCCGTTTTGGCATAAATGAGTGGGCCAGAGGATGTTTTGACATGAATGAAAGATAAATGGGCCAAAGGCCAGTATGTTTGAAACCATAGTCACTTGACTTAAATTGTGTATATAAATGTTAAATAAATATGTGAATTGGGCCCAAGGCCGTTCGGAGTATGTTGTTCTACATATCGTTGTATCTTCTTATTTGATATTATTCACTGGGCTATCGCTCACGCTCATTCATGTGTTTGTAGGTAAGCCAAGAGAGGTTCAGACCCAGCCCCAGTGAAGTCTGTGTGAAACAACCAAGGTTTGGAGAGTCAGCCCTAGTGTCTCACGTACGAGACTAGTCTTCGCCTTTCTGCTATGCTATGTAATTTTTGTAATGTTGGTGAGGACTTTGCATATGTCTGTATATAGTTTTCATGGGTTGACTTAGTTTTTGGATGATCCTGTTTGTACAGAACTTATGCTACTGTATTTCTGTTGTGAGTTATTAATGTATATGTGTTTGGTTGTTTGGATGTGCCATGTAAGCACAACTCTACGGACAAAGTTTTGAACTGCTTCCGTTTGGTCCCCATTAACTCTGTTAAAATACTTTCGGTTTGGTTTGAGGCCGTAGGTAATCTCATGATTACTGGCCAGTTATGTCCTTAACCCACGGGGGCGGGTTCGGGTCATGACAGTTTGGTATAAGCTTTTTTCGACTAGACTGACCTGGGCTTCAGAAGTTGTTTGCTTAGGAGAGGCAGCCTTGGAAACCAAGTCTTCTTCATCATGAGTCAAGTCTAGGACTTGATCATTCAATGTTGGAGACTTGGCCCCAACAGCGACCCCCTCATTTTCTTCGACATCCTCTGCGTCGGTTTCCTCCCCGTCGGCCTCCCCGTCTGACTCTTTGGAAGTCGCAAGGAAAGGCACCTAGAGATTGTTGATATCTCGGAGGTTGGAGTTCATAGGAACAGATAATTTGTTAAAAGCTGCATTCCAACAGAGGTAGAAGCCTCGGTTACAAGCTTGGTTGATTTGATCTTTGTACACATCACGGACTGCAACTTGTCCCTCTGAGAAAGCTTTCTCATCAGTCACCTTGATCTCGGCTTCCTTCATAGCCAGTACTTTTTGGAACTTTTCCTTGACCTCGATAGTTTTGGCCTCGGCATCCTTGATCTTAGACTTTAGTACTTTAGCTACAGCCTCGGCCGCTTCAGCTTTTTCCTCGGCTTGGTCTTGGGCTCATCTGGCTGCTTTGGTCTGATCCAATAGAACTTTGATCTTGGCCTTCGCGTTATTTAAAGAGGTGAAGAAGCCAGTAGCCTCTTTGGTCTTGTGGACCAATTTTTTCTTCAAATCCTCGGCTTTCATTGCAAAGGAATGAGCATGCTAGATCGCCTAGAAGAAAATGAATGAGCAAGTTAGTAAAATTTTGAAGTATGAGAACTTGAAGTAAAAAGCCAGAAAAGATAAGAGTTGAAGACTTACTAGGACAGAGTGTTGCATCATTAAAGCAAAATTTTCATACCTCGTGATCTCGGCCATAAAATTTAGATCAGTTGGGAGAAAAACGGCTATGGAAAGAGCGACGCTAACCTCAATATTGTCAATGGCATTGTCGCCGGCCTTGATTGGTTGGTCCCCAATCGTGATGGCAGGAGTCCAAGGTTCATCGACTTTAAATGCACCCGAGGTTATCGCAGCTTCGGACCTCGGCTTCTTTGACTGAGCGGTATTAGTTGGATTGGCCTGAGCAGGCCTTTTTTTGATAGTGGAGGCTATTTTCTTGATTTCGACGAGTTTAGAGATTGGTATTGTATCTTCAGATTCAATTTGGGTGGCAGAGGCTTTTGCCTTAACCCTCTTTACCCTTTTTGGTTTTTGTTTAGGTTACGATTGAGATAGTGAAGAACAGGTGACAGTGACCACTCCTGGCAAGTCGGCCAAGAGGTCCTCAACAACAGTTTTACGACCCATGTCTTCGATAGTAGCAGTGAGGGTAACTTTGGTACCGAAATGAATTGCTGGCAAGGCTGTTGGTGGGTTCGCTAGATTGTAGGTTGATGCCTCAGAATCTTGCGGCTACGAGTTTTGCCTACTGGTACGTTTGTTGGGGCATGACGACGACATCGGCGTTGGGATATTAGGATAAGTTGGGGGACAGAGGTTGACAGCAACTCAACTGGATCAAAAGAAGAAGCCTGATCATCTCTTGGTAAAGAAGTTCCTGGAGGGGTTGAGGCAGACAGTGGAGTTTGACTTCTCCGAGGGACGTCGGGCAAAACCGATTTGTATGTTGGTATATAATTCAACAGAAAAGGGGATTTTCGTTTCTGCACAGGAAGATCCAAGAGTTTCTTTAGATCTTGGCTGGGAACGTATGATTGCCAAAATCCTTTGACTGGTTGATAAAAAGCTACAAAAAACAAAAAGCAAACATTAGAAGAGATGAATGAGTTGGCAAATTGTGAGGCCCCTGAAAATTTTAATTTCTTAAAAGTCCCTTACTTTTAAATTATTTCCTTGAAGTCCCTCAGTTTCTTAATTAATTGCAACCCTAGGATCAAAATACATGCGCCAACTGAAAACTCGCAAGCCCTAATCGATTTCGATAACTTGGAAATCATTTCTAATACCCTAATACTGATTAATTGACTCCATAAACATAGAATTACCACTTGAAAACCCTAGGTTTTTCTGGTTTTTATCACGCTCGTCGGTTGATAGCTTTTTTATTCGAAACAAGAAATTCAAACCGAATTAGATTCTCTAACCCTAACTTAGTTAAATTCTACTCTAAAATAAATGTTCCAATTCATAAATTAAGGCTTTAGCCCTCATATTTTACTTAAATCACAAATTGACCCCGAGTTAATACCATTGTATATATATATTTGTACCTCTTATTCATCAAATCTTTTTGTACACAATATCTATGGAATTTGTACATAAAATAAATAATTTTATATACAAATACCTTCATATCTATATATAAAATCAAAAAAAATTCCCCCAAATCTTGAGCACATGGCTAGCCATTATACCTCCTAGGCTATAATCATTGTACTTTAGAGACAAATCTCTTGAATCATGGAAATAATTATGATCTTGGTACCAATTCTATATATATACATGTATATATCTAATGTACTTGTAACTAGAATGGATTAAATTAGACTTAAGCCTAACTAGATCATAATTAAATACATAATTAAGGTCCTAATTATCCACTATTCCATTTCATTTGAACTAAATACAACTCAATTCCATTACATTTCAACCAAAGGACATTTTAGACAATTCACACCATTTTTCCTATAAATACACCACTATCCTCCATCTATTTGAACATCAAACACCACACCTACACACCCACGCACCCACATGTCATAGAGAGAGGGAGAGGAGTGGAGAGTAAGCTTGTGAGAGGGAGAAAGAAGAGAAAGAGAGCAAGTCTTGCAAAACTAGTTCCATAAGCATTTAAGTAAGCCACAACACAACTCTCTCTTTCATTTTCCTTTTTTAAATACATGTTATTAGAAGTTTAAAATGGTATTTTCAGATGTGTTCTAATGGTATTCTTGTGTTAAAAATAAAAGGAGTTGAGCCTTGATTTTACCCTTCTTCTATTTTTCTTAATCGGTATAAGACTACCTTTTTCCATATCAATCTCTCAAAATTTCCAAAGGCACACCTACACCTTAATTTCTGAGTTTAATACATATTATTTATCATGTTTTCACCACAAGAGAAGTGAAAAATTTCCCCTAGCCGACCTCTTTTCTCACCAACTTTCTATTTTCAATAACTGTGCTAGAAAAATCTGTTTTACAGCCACCTTGCGAAAATTTTAGAAAAATGTATAAAATTCTTCCATTTTATTTCAAAATCTTCCTTAAGGAGTTATCGTTCAAGGAAAATTAGTTTAATTGAAAACAAGTGAGCGGTTTAAACGAACATTCGATTTTCGTAACGGTCGACGAATCTGGATAGCGCTGGAGTGTTTCTTAAATAACTAAAAATCTAGAAAAGCTATTCCATTCCTGAAACATTTTCTGAAAACTAGATTAAATTCTCTACGAACCATAGGAAGGTCAAGTTTAGGAAAAATCTGAAAATGCCTTTTTGTTTACAATTTCTATGATAATGAAATCTGAAAATTTAGTTTCGAATGGATGTTTTATGCTATTGTGTTCATGAATATGTTTATTAGTTTATGGTCATGTCTTGGTATGATATTGAATGTGTTATGGTTATGTTCCTTATGTTCTTCATTCTAATGATGCTCATGCTTATGTGGATATTATTATCTTATTAAGTTTGTTCTAACTTGACTTAAAACATTTAACTCAACGGGAAACTTAATTGGGGTGGTATTGGGTTTTCGATCACTTGGATATTGAAGAGATGATAATTTGTTGTGTATGGATTGATGAGATGTGCTCCATAATTAAAGCTTAACTCTTGCGCAAGCGGCTGTCGCGTAAACCCTAGAATGAAACGGATATATTTGGACTCTTTGCAATGGTTTGATTAGTGAGATAAGGTTGGGTCTGGATGGGACATTCAGGAGGATAAAAATTTTTTGGAAGGATAAGGTTGGATTCTGGGTGATAAAACCTTTTTCTTTTCGCTATCCCTTTTGAGGCCCTGTGGTTAGTGCTACGCGGTATGTAACCGTTAGTAGGTATCCGAGGTTAGTTCTGCAACAAAGCAGCAAAATGGGGAGTTCCGAATAGTCCGATGTACAATTCTTGTGGTTGGGAGGATGAAATCTCTTTGGGGGATTTCTAGAATACTAACCACTAACATTATAATCTTTGTTATCTATTTGAAAGACATATTACTTTCCTCTATTATTGAAATTGTTGTTATTGACTTGAATATCATGCTTCATTACTTGCTTGCTATAAATATGATGGTGTATTGGATTGGGAAAAATAGATGGGGTGTGTGTGCGTTTACTAGACATTCAAAGCTCACGGCGTTTCATGCCAGGTATTGAAGACTATTAGACCGGTCGAAGGCAAAGCTGAAGTATTTGAAAACGTATGGCTATCCTATGAGAGTTAGGAACTAGTTATGTTAAACGTGTTTTGAGAATTCCCATGTTGTATTTAAGACATGATTTTGTAATTTGTATATATATAACATTTGTAACCTATCCTTATACTCCATCAACTCATGTAGGCATTGTGTTAATACCTTGTCAAGATCTGTCAAAAATGTAGCTTTGATATTTAAGGTGGTTGGACTTAGAATGGAGCCTATTTTGACTCCTCCGACCTTCCTGAGATCTTGCTTGGTTATTAACTAAAGGACTTATTAGTGACGTTTCTTACTCTTGTAACCTTAGATAAACTTTGTATTTAATGGTTAATATATTATCTGATGTTTTTGACTTTTTGGGCGTCACACAAACCTTAACCAAAATGGAATTACAGTAGGATGACTAAGTCTTACCATCACCCTCTTTAAAAACTGCTCGGCACAGAGGATAAAGTGAAGATCACCATTAGGAGCAAACTCCCAGTTGCCCGAGACAATGAAGTAATCATCTCCAGCACCCTTATTGGAGTCTGAGGGGTCGGCTATTAGTTTGAAGGCGGTAGATTTGGGCTTAAAGTAGTATATGTAACCTTTCTCAGACTTAAGGACACACATTGTGTAGCAGAATTGGATGTCGGCCAATGTAATCCTAGCTTTTTCTCAGTGTGCTAGTTCGATTATATCGTTGATAACCCTATATGAGTTTATGACAAGCTGCATGGGATTAAGTTTGTAATAATGAAGGATTTCTCGAAAGAGAGTGTCTAGTGGAAACCGAAGTTTGTATTCAATAAATGCAACAACATAAAAGGGCATGGAGTCTCCATCAGGCATGATAGAGTCCTCCTCTCCAGCTAACCTCAAATGGACGTCGGCTGGGATCGAGAACTCCTGCCTAAAATGCTCTAGCTTTTCTGGGGTATCTACCCTCCACCTAAACATATCCATTATCTTAGCAAGAAGGGGTTGGACAACAAAATAATTGATGCAGGTTTAAAGACCATTGCTAAAACCTACATGGGCACTAGTTTTAGGATTTTTGAAAATCTAAGGAGAATTCGTTTCGATTTTCCTAGAGAACGAGGTTCTAGAGCAAATCCCAAACCTAGAAACTATAGAAACAGGAATCGAAGGCAAAAATCTGGAAATACAACAAGACAAACAAAAAAAAGAGCATGATTCAGAAATCAAGAACGCAACCGAGATTCAAGAATTAAGAAAATCATAAATTCACAAAACAAAAGTGAGTGTGTGCAAGGCAGTGTGCTAGAGTCAGAAGCAATACGCACATTCTTGAATTCAAGAACAGATTGTGTTACATTAAACAAATTCAAGAAACAAGAATTGATAGCCAAGGCGTGAAGATAGCAACAGAGAACAATTACAAATGCATATACAGATTCCACAAAAAACAGGTATGAGGGGAAGCATATAGCAAAACTCAAAAGGAAGTCATATGAGCATGGCTAAGAGTAGTAAACAGCAGTGGAGAATTAAAATAAAAAGGAATCAAAAGACTTACTGATTGAAGCCGGAATAAGATACGCCGGAATTAGACAAGCTAAACGATTAAGGTCAAAATGATGAGTAGTGTGCTGGCGGTAAACGAAGAATGCAGTTGCAGATAGCTCGTGAACGCAACAATGGAAGATTTGAAAATGTTAGAGAGAGAAAGTCTAAGAGACAAGGGAAAAATTGTGAATTGCAAAAGTGAAAGGACAGAGAGAGAACGAAAAGTTTTGTCAAAAACATGAAAAGGCGACAAACCATAATGAAATGCTTTGGACGACGTGTTTGTCAGGTGGCGTGTGCAGAAGCAACGCATCTTGATAGCGCGTGTCATGTATGGACCAATGAGGAACGGACGAATGGAGGACACGGTTGAGAAAACCATGCGTGAACCCATGCGTGGCAGCTCATGCGCAGATAAAACTCTTGGAGTTCTCAATTTAATGAAGCGAAAACCTCTGCTAGTGGAACGATCTTGGGTTAAAGAACTTGAAGAACTTGGTTCTTGGTTCTTAGTCATTGATAGGGATGGACAGTTGAGACCTGAGTACTTGAAACTGACGAGTCATGATCTCGGTCGAAGAAAAGAGTGAATTTCATCCGACGTTCTTTAGAAAGAAACGATGTGGGTTCTCGAGGTAATAGAACCTAGGAGGCTGTTTTGGGGACATATTTTGTGAATGATAACACATGGCCAAGGTGACGTCGAAGTGTTAGCCGAGGTGCCACGTGGCTTGGTCATGACACCGAAGTGACTGTGGCTAGGCTGAGGTTATTTGTGGAGATACCGAAATCTGAGATAATCAGATGAGGGGCAGGAGTCTTAGAACAGGAGAGGATCTCAGTTTTGATAAAGATAAAACTCTTAGGGAGTTTATCCCTATCTGGCTGAGGGTCCAAGATAGGCATTGAGCTTGAGTTCACTGAAGTGAGGCTTCTACAGGGAACATGTTAGTGTTGGCTATAAAAGCAAAGCACCCTCGTGGGTCTCAGGTATGTGTAATATACTGTGAGCAATAAGTTATTTCTTGTGAGTTAAGCACAGTTTGCTATCTTTGAAAGATATTTGATTACTGATTTGATCATCGGAGTGTCCCAGGTGGACGAACCACTGCTGGATTCTTATCTTTCTGTGTCAGGTTGTTTGGGCTTAATTTATTTTGTCGGTGCTCTTCAACTGAGTTCCCCGTTTGGTTGTGTGGTCAAAAATCAACATCCATCACACTTCTTCTTTTTTTTTTTTGTAAAAAGTTAAAAAAAATCATTCAAAACATACTAATTTTTTTACTTCATATTTTATTCAAAAAGTTATTAAAATAACTTATTTCCAAACCAACCTTTAATTTGTCCCTCCCCAACTCTATCAAGGTGATTTCATTTAGAAAAAATTACCATTAGATGGGAAGTGTGATAAAATTTTATTAATAAAATTCAGGAGAGCATGTTTAGTTGTCATTAGGAGTGTAAAAATGGCCCGCGACTTGTGGGCGGCTCGAAATCCGCCCGTGGCTGGGGTGGGCTGATCCGTTTGGGCCCGGGCCTGAGCCTCTGGGACTTGGTATTCATTTTGAAGCTTAGCCCACCCCGTGGGCCAATCCATCAGTCTGCTTACGGCCTGCTTAAAGCCTGGCCCTCTCAAGACCCAATGTCTTTTTTAGTATAAAATAATAAAATTTTTGTAGAAAAAATTAAAAAAAACAAAAATGGTCAGGCCCACCCAAGGTCGAGGACAGGCCCAACCCACCGGTCCGTCCAAGCCCCGAATACCCCTAGGCCTAGGGATAGGCTTGGGCCTAATTTTTTTGGCCAGTGAGCCGGCCCAACCTGAATTTTGACGGGAGCTTACAAGACTCGACATCGGCTGGACTGGACCCAAATGGGCCGGACTGAGCCAAGCCGGACCAAATTTACACCCCTATTGTCATACAAAAATAGTCAAGTAAGGGTTTACTCAACAAAAATAATGAGTATGTAAAGGTCGGCATTGGACGTAGGCCAAGTCAGGCGGATTGTTTTTTCTATCATGCCGCCCAACAAACTTGGTCCAAGTAGGAATGGGTCGGTCTGCGAGTTAAGAATAATGTGCTAATAATTATAGTGTATTTTGAGTTTTTTTCCTTTCCAAAACGTTGATTAGGAGATGATTTTTTGATTTTTTTATAAAAAAATAAAGAGGTAATATGATTTAAGAAAATAAAAAATAAAAAATAAAAATGATAGAGATCTCAAAAATTCTATCAAAAATTTTATTACATACTTATATAAGATATTTAATAAAAAATTTAATAATTTTTTTAAGATTGCTAACATTACCTGGTTTGGGGTACACTATATAATTCATCTTTTTATCTTTTTTTCATCACATCATTTCTCTACTTTTCTGCACATCTTTTCGTAAAAAGATAAAAAATGTACTTTTTAAGACACCCCAAACCATTAACTTTTAATTAACTTATTAAAATAGGCCTTTATGCCGGATCAACGGACCGTCTCTCACGAGTTAACAAGGCAGACTTCAATACCTTACTCAAGATGCGTATGGTATAACCATAGCCCTATGCAACCCTTTGTTCAAATGATACCCTTAGGACATGTTGGATATGTAGGTTATTGTGTTACAAACATAATTGAATAAGAGATGATTCTCTGTTGAATCATTTATGCATTTTTCTAAAATTAATCACATTGAAACCTTTTCAATTATGGACAAATATATTTTGAAATAATTTAAATAAGTACATTTTTTAATTTTTTACAAAAAGATGTAAAAAATAATTGAGAAGTGATGTGATCTAAAAAAAGATAAAAAGACGAAAAGTATACTTATATAGTGTTACCCAAACCATAATAATTTTTTCTATAATAATTTTTTTTTTTAAAAAACCCATGTTAGTATGTATTTTCTTAATTACATATATAGTTATACACAAATCTAACCTTAATTTAAATTATACAACTTTACCTATTTTATATGAACTTTATTTGATAAATATTTTTTTGGAAAAATTATTTATAAGTTCTGTTAGGAAAACTTATGCTACATATGGTCCTACGAAAAAACTTATGTTCCTATAAGTCTTGTGTGAAATTTGTTAACACATTTACCCTCAATATTAGTTGTTAATATCATAAATAATGGTAAAACCATATATAGGAAATTGAATGTTACCATAGATTAAGTTTGCGAAACGTAACGTGACACCTACATAAACGTAACGTAACGTGTCACGTTCCGTTTCGCAAACTTACTAGGTTTTTGATTTTTTAAATTGAATGTGAAATGTTATTTGCTCGTGTATTTTGAAATTCACATTCACATAGATATGATCTATGGTAACATTCGGAAATTGAATGTTACCATAGATTAAGTTTGCGAAACGTAACGTGGCACCTACATAAATGTAACATATGTAACATTCAAATGTTATCATAGATTAAGTTTGCGAAACGTAACGTGACACATACATAAATGTAACGTAACGTGACCATATCAGATGAAACATTACATAAACGTAACGTAACGTGACACTTACATAAACGTAACATAACGTGACACCTACATAAACGTAACGTAACGTGTCACGTTATGTTTCGCAAATAAGATCTTGTGGAATACATTCTTATCTAAATAGGACTTGAGACTCTATAAGAAATTACACAGGACTTAACATAGCATAAGTGTCCGAAATAAGACTTATGAATAAGTCTCCCTATTTTTTTTTCATATATTTTTCATGATAAATTGAGATAATCCATAAATCTAATACCAATTTTACATTTCACATTTTTCTTCTTAATTTTTTCAAGGGTATTAGATTTTTTTTTTTTTGATCAGCAAAGAAAAATTTCATTAACGGCATGAAATTAAAGGTACAGGAAGATGACATGCATCGAGAGAGATTCGGAAAGTACAAAATACCCCTACTACTGCTACTCGCATCCATACAACCAACCCCCTAGCCTCACAATTTTTTTTTTTAAATAAAAAAGTTAAGAAAAACTTAACTAAAAAATAAAATACCTAAATCCCCCACAAAATTACCCACAAAATCCAAAACCAAAGCTACTACACACCCAACGCCTACCTGCTAATTTAAAACTAAAACTTTACCGCCCACTAGCTATTTTTTGAAACTAAAATAATCACTTATACTGCTTCAACTCCCAACACCTATGCTGCTTCATTTCTATACCGCCCACCTGCTGCCACGCCTGACAACGCCCAAAGCCCAACGCCCACCTGCTACTACTGTTAAATCTGTACACCACGCTCCTCTACACCTCCCAACTCCCACCTGCTAAATCTTTTCACCACGCTTCACTGGCCGGAAAAATCCATAGCCAACATCACCACGGCTGGAAGAACTTCCATGCCTGACATCTCCAAGCTGCTATACTACTGCTATATCTTTACCACCCACGCTGCTACACTCCACACGCTGCTTCACTTCCACTGCCCAGCGAAGGCCCACGCCGGACAACACACTGCCAACACCCAACTACACCCACGGACAACACCCAAGGCCACACCTCTCCGATGCGGTGGTTCAAAACTCTGAACACACCCACGGCCAATCAACACTCATGACAACAAGACCCACTGCAGGTACTACTCCACCGTCCCTATATTGACGACCCAACGCCGAACTCTTCTTATTCAAAACAATCGCTGAGATACCACCACACATCTGGACGGCGTTCACCCCTCAAACTCCCATACGCATAGAAGCGCTCGAATGAAATCTTATACAGATCCGGATCATCTTCGACACTAATGCTTCCCCCCGACCAAAACACCGAAACACCTCCATAGATCTTCGACACTAAATTGTCTTTTTTTTCCTTATTATTTTCCCATGCATTATTCTATACCCAATACAAATTTTATATTATTCTATATTATAGATTTATCGTTTAAATTTTATAATGATTCTATATATGAAACTATACTTTTTTTCTTACATTATTTTATATAATCACAAGTCATAGGAGAAAAAACTTGCACGAATCTTTAAAATTTAAATTTACTGTTTGAATTACTTTGTCAATTGTTGAACATTAATTTTTTTTATATAATTGATATTTTAATTTAATTAAGAGTATATATTTTACAATCTTATAATTTAATATATATATATATATATAATATAACGTCATTATAGAATAATCCAACCACAACATATTTATATTTAATTGTTTTAACAAATTTTATATAATTTCTATTTTTACATATCTTATTTTCCAAATGAATATAAAAGAAAATTAAATAGTTAGAATTACTTTTAATTTTATGTTACTAATTATTTTTTTAGTTTAACTATTATTTGTAATATTAAAATGAGTATTTATTTTACTATATTATAATTTAATATATATCATACAAATTTATTATATGATAATTACACTTTTATAATATAATAGAGCTAAAATTATCAAAATACATAGATAATTTAATTAAAATTAATATATATATAAAACGATAACGTCAATATTATCAAAATAAATAATTAAAATTATACTTTAATTTTAATTTTAATTTTAAATTAAAATTAAAATTAAAATTATTCTTTTATAACACATTATATCATTAAATATTTTTTAAAAAATAATAATATGTATATCATACGGTCAACTGCTACATTTAAAAGTCATACAAAATGTACCAATTTATAAAAGTAAAACTAGTTGATTTCGGTGTAATTAATTATTTACTTTTATTTTGATATTATGCACGTGGTGTTATAAACGGTTACTTCTTGATGATTACGTTTGTAAACCGATTATAGAATAGCCTCACCCTTCTAGAAATCCTTTTGCGTTACGTCATGGTTACACGTATAGTACTGACAGCGGCGGCTTCTTCTGGCCTTTTGGTTTCACTGCTGTCCATCTTGTGTTTTTAGAGAGAGAAAAGCTATTTGGAGAGAGAGAGAGAGAGAGAGAGACCCTAGTCTTCTGCGGGCCAACTACAACAATGTCTGGAATGGGAGCAGGTAATGGTCCTCAATCTGAAGATCAGAAACCCAACATGGCTGATCAGTCTCAATCAAACCAACTCAATATCAAGGTCAAGAACCAGGTATCATTTATTCTTGTTTTTTATTCTTTTTTTTTTTCTTCCAGGGTTTATGTTTTAGATTGATTGATTTTGGTGCATTCACTGTTACTTTGTTTCTCCTGTGTTTGTTTGTTTGGTTGGCATTGCTTTCTGATTTCGACATGCATGCGTTGATTTCAATGTCTACATGAAGGAGTGCTTGATAAGTTTTCACAAGATTCAGTTTTTTTATTATAATTTTTAAATTTTTGTAGTCTGTGTGCTTGTGTTTATGTCTATATGGGCTTGTGTTATTGTTTTAATTTTCTTGATTGCACATTCTGTATAACTTTCCTTACTACCTAAAAAAAAAAATAAAAAATAAGATTGCACATTCTGTATATGTGTGAGGATATATTTTCTGAGTACTAACACGTGACAAGGTAACGCCGACGTGTCAGCCGAGGTGCCACGTGTCTTGGTCGTTGTGCCGAGGTCATCTCGGCTAGGCCGAGGTTGCCTCCGAAGATATCGGAATCCGAGATAAGCGGATAAGGGACAAGAGTCCTAGAATGAAGAGGGAACTCAACTTGGATATGGACAAGAGTCCTAGATTGGGAGAAGACTTCAGTTTGGGTAAAGATAAGACTCTTAGAGAGTTTATCCTAATCTCACTGGGAGTCCCAGATTAGCAGTAATCCTAAGTCCATTAGGGCCAGGCTCCTATTGGGACTAGGATTGTATTGGCTATAAAAGAGAGGCACCCCCATGGGTCTAAGGTATGCTTTTGATACTCAAGCTTGTGAGTTTAGTACTTGATTATCTTTGAGAGATATACTGACTTGATCGTCGAAGTGCCCCGGGTGGTCGAAACTACCGCGAGATTCTTATATTTCTGTTGCAGGTCCGTCAGGTGCCATCTATTCTGCTAGTGCTCTCCAGCTGGTTACTAAGCGGGCGGTGTGGTCGAAAAATCACCCACACAATATGTATGTTTATTGTTTACATGAAGAAGTGCTTGATAAGTTTTCACAAGATTCAATTTTTTTTTTTAATTTTTAATTTTTATAGTCTGCATGATTGTGTTTATGTCTGGATAGGCTTGTGTTATTGTTTTAGTTTTCGTGATTGCACATTCTGTATATGTATGTTTATCTATCATCGGTTGTATCGTCAATACATATATCGGTTACTGTTTGATATTGACCAATCCATGACACTTTCATTGATACTGGTATAAATCTCATCTCATGGTTATTTAAAACATAATGGGCAATTTATGAAACCAATGTACACAACCAAATTACAATCTAATAAAAAAGCTAAATTATGTTTGGTTCTGCTACATCTACACAAATAGCCATTGGGCTTGGGAAAGCAGAACCTCAGTTGCCCCAAAAGTGCATTTGTGCATTTGTTTCGGGCACGAACACTAAAGTCTTGTTTGGCATAAATTAAAAAATTTAAAAAAATCACTATCCTATTTAAGTCATATCATCCTATTTAAATCACATAATCTCTCTATCACATCACTTCAAACCCAACCCATACTCAACCCATATTTCATAAAAAGTCAAAAAGTGCACTTATTTAGGACATCCCAAATCACCCCTAAATTACAAACACAAAACAACCCCTCTCTCTCTCAAACAGCAACACTCTCACTCTCACCGACACCCACTGAATCACTCTCTCACGGATGCCCACCAACGACGACCACCGACTACCACCGACAAACCCACCACTCATTCACTTATCTTTCTCCTCTCGGCTCGAATCTCTTTTTCTTGGAGGATTTCTTCGAGGGTTTCTTAAAACAATCGCGATTCTTGACGAATAGGTCACCGAGAGATGTCGACAAACTAGTCTCCACCACCAAAGATCCGCCACACTTCGACGACTAGATGTGATCCGCCACCAACTGGGTGATTCGATTCCCCTTCGCTTTCTTCCACACAGGCATGATTCTTGGTTGTTCTTTTTCATTCTCACACTCTCAATTCAACAAAAACCAAAATGGTTTTTTTTAATTGTAAAGAATCTCAAGAAAAACAAATAGATACCGAAAATCCAGAAAAAATTAGTATGAAAAAAGAGAATTTTGGAAAGAGAGTATGAAAGAATTGAAAAGATCAATGTAAAGATTTATGGGTTCACTGTGAAACTTGAAATCTAAGAAAGAGAAAGAAGAGAGAGTGAGCGAGAGAGGATGGGTTAAATTATATGATTTTTCAGACTCGTGAATTGGAATTGTACAAGAATTTCATCTTTATATGTAAGGTTGTGAAAGAGATAGAGATAGAAGACGAAGGCTGTGAGAGAGAGAAAGCGCTGTGTGAGATAAAAATCATTTATTTACCGTTTGAGGGGAAACAAATGTTTTTTCTCAAATGGTAATCAGATGCTTTTCTCCCTCTTTCACAGGTCTCTCTCTGTCATAGCCTTCTTCTTCTCTCTCTATCTCTCTAACGACCTTATATATAAAAATGAATTTCTTGTACAACTCCAATTCACGAGTCTAAAAAATCATATAATTTAACCTATCTTCTCTTGCTCACTCTCTCTTCTTTCTCTTTCTCGGATTTCAGGTTTCACAGTAAACCCATATATCTTTACATTGATCCTTTCAATTCTTTCATACTCTCTTTACAAAATTCTCTTTTTTCACACAATTTTTTTCTTGATTTTCTGTATCTATATGTTTTTCTTGAGATTCTTTATAATTAAAGAAAACCATTTTGGTTTTTGTTGAATTGAGAGTGTGAGAAAGAAGAAGAACAACAAAAAATCATGCTTGTGTGGAAGAAAGCGAAGGGAAATCGATCACCTAGTTGGTGGCAGATCACATCCAGTCGTCGAAGCATGGCGGATTTTTGGTGGTGGAGACTAGTTTTTTGACCTCTCTCGGCGATCTATTCGACAAGAATCGAGATCGTTTGAAGAAACCCTCGAAGAAATCCTCCAAGAAGAAGAGATTTGAATCGAGAGGAGAGAGAGAAGTGAATGAGTGGTAAGTTTGTCGGTGGTGGTCGGTGGGCATCGGTGAGAGAGTGATCCCGGTGGGTCTCAGTGAGAGAGAGAGTGTAGCTGTTTGAGAGAGAGAGAGGCTGTTTTGTGTTTGTGATTTGGGTTTTGTGTTAGCGTGTGAAACAAACACACTATTCGGGCAACATCATTCTAGTGCTTATATTTGTGTGGATGTAGCAGAACCGTATTGATTTTTTGGAGAAATTTTGATGTTACATATTTATTATAATATATTGTTTTGATAAAAATAGTACTCACCTGTTTATTTATTATAAATTGGTCAAGCCAAGCTTTTCACATGCCACTCTGGTGACTATAATTCAAACACACATTATTTGGAATTGATTATTATTCCTCGTTGGAGTGGTATAGAGAAATAGATTTGCTCTTATCAAGATATATGCTGTGACTTGCCCATGCTATGTAACATTTTTGTTTGAGAAAATGGAGCCAAAATTGATGGACTTGGAAAGAATTTCACTAAAGCAATCTAGCTATCCCTATCTTATATTTTATTTTTGAAAACAATTTTGAGAGCTTTTTTTGTTAGTACTTCAAATTTGGTTGAAGTCATCCGATCAAGTTGATTTTTGCATCTTTTATCTTCAGTGGTTCCATTTGGTAAAAAGCTTTGAATCTGATTTATAAAAACATGTTGCTCCTGTAAGCTAAATCTGCAGTCATATATGCTTGAAGCTTTAACCAATGTTATTATTGGCCAGCTTGTATTGTGTCCACTTAATAAAATCCTCATTTTTTTTTTTATTTTTTTAAACATTTTGTTGATATGATTCATTGAATAGCACTATGCATCATTGCCTTGTGTTTGATCCCTTACACTAAATTTGTATAGTAGAATAGTGCTTCTAATTTTTTAGTCGTCTACCATCCACAAACCTTTTTAGCTGTTTTGTTGGCTTTTTGAATTTTGACTACGACAATGCATTTTCATACAATGTGCCTTTGGGGGTGCACAGACTCAACTAACTTAATAAGAATTCATATCTCATCTCATCATTGTCTTTTTATGGAGAGATGCAAGGTTGGAGGGATTAGGATGAAGTGATGTTTAAATTAGAGATGAGGCATTATTTTGTTTATCGCCATGGATTAGTTAGCAACCAAGCTCCTTTCTTTGCAATTCTACAATTCCCAATTCTAACTGGCTGGCCCCCTTTTACAAACCGCTTGTGCCTATCGGAATAGAAGAAACTTTGGCAGGCCTAGCGTAATCGGCTGGTTGGTACCTGTTTGGAGTCTTTAGGAAATTCAAATTTACCTTCACAAAACAAGTTGGATGATAGGAGTAGGAGAGTAATGGATTTGGATTGATTGGTAAGTAAGTGTGTCCTACTGAATGGCATATGGGGGTTGCTGAAAATGAAGAAGATCAAAGCAAGTAAAGCAGCAGGGCCCAGTGGTGAAATGGTAGTAATGGTCAAATTTTTGGTAACGTTTTCATATGAGATTTCAGTTTGGTTGTTCACTGAAAATTGATGATGTGGTCATACAAAATCCAAGAGAGAGATAACTATTATGACTTATAAATTGTTATGATTGGTATCAGATGGACAAATTTCAGAGTGATGGCTTTTACCACAATAACTGAAGCTTATGGTATCTTTTCATACACAAACACTATACATAAGAAATTATGTCAAATAAAACATCTACAAGTGGAAATCTGTTAACACTATTCAGTTTCTTTTCTCCCTAACATGGGTACTTAAAGATTAATGATTGACCATAAAGATTGCCTTCTATGAGAACACTAGGGTTCTCTTAGTATAATATCTACATCATTTTCTAATGTTCACCAAACACTTGTTGCCTAGGTGTCTGTGACTTTGGAACATATCGAAAGGAATTGGTTATTTATTTATTTATTTGTCGTGCCCCTAGTTCACTGCATGGTTCCGTGCTTGTGGATTGCACATTTTATGTGAGTTTAGACTTCATCAGGAACTAGGTAATATAGCCTTGCTATTGTGTGAATCAATTCAATTTCTCTTGTTTGTGTTGTGTTAATTTTTTGCACCTAGTTAATTAATTTAAATTATGCTTCCACGAAATCATTTATTTTTGTGATTCATTAAATAATGTTCCCTTCTTTTGTCTGTGATAATAGTATTTACTGTTATGTCTGAATGCTTTATTCTATAACTATTTTCAGATTCACAGCTTACGAGTTATTATGAACGAGTATGACTTGGTGTGAAGAGTTCTCACTTAGAATTACTTGATGTGTTTGAGTGGATGCAATCTGTTATTTGCTTGTACAGGCCACAGCATTTAAACCTCTCTGTTTTGTTGTGTGCATGAAGCAATGAAATTTTAAACAAAGGGATACAACCATCCATTTAAGTAAGCCATGAAGAAAGCAATTAAGGTATCAAATACCATAGATATTGAACAGAGGACAAATTTATTAATACTTACCAATTTCTCTGGAAGATGTTGATTTAAGCCACAACCTAAATTCATATTTCAATGGAACCGTGACTTGTCTGTGTGCAGATGCACGCGCACGCTTTTGAGTTGAAGAAAATGTAGTATTGGAATGCTTAGTGGATTGAATAAGGCTTTATTGTCAATGTTGTTTGTATTTGATTAGTTGGGTTTTGGGTCAAAAACCATGTTTATCACCTTCAATTTCTCTCTTTTGCTTACTGACTTTAATGTTGTGGATCTTCATATACATTGTCCATCTTGTGTTTTTCAAATATGCCTCTGATTATATGCTTTTTTGTTTATCAGTGTCACCATAATCTTGTCCAATTGGTAAGAAATTTGATAAATTTAATATCAATGTTCCACAGTTTTGTGTGCCGTAAGCTACTTGCTAGCTGCTAGTTATTAGGCTATGTTGCTTCATTATTTTAAGCTTTGGATCCCAGTTATGCTGGACAATATGTAGGTTAATTATATAGAAGTCTATATCAATTTCTCTTTCTCCCTTGCCTTTTTGGTGGTTAAAATACATATTCCACAGAGATTTGCTATCTGATGGTAAGCACGGGTCTTACTTTCCTGTCAAATATACTTGGCATCTTGTTCATGACCTTTTTTTTTTTTTTTCCCCCTTCTCTCCGTTTCCTTTTTGGTGGTGGTTTGATTCAGGAAGGGAATGAGGTGTATTTCAGGATTAAACGTAATACCCAGCTCTGCAAGCTCATGACAGCTTATTGTGACCGACAGTCGTTGGACCCCAAGTCCATTGTGTTCGTGTTCGATGGACGCCGTATTCACGCGGAACAAACCCCAGATCAAGTAAAATTATTTCACTTTCTTCTTTTCTCTTTTTCCCTAAAGGTTGTTATATGGTATGTTTATTTTCATTTCATATTTGTAACAAATAAAACATATTCAACCTTATAGTTTAACATATCTTAAATTTAAGCTAGATTGTTCGTATTTGATTTTTTTGATAGCTTGGCATGGAGGATTGTGATGAAGTTGATGCCATGCTGCATCAGACTGGTGGTGGTGGCTTTGGAGACATATGACTTGGAATAACTTGGAAGCTTAGAACAGTTAATAGCTTGAAATGCTTTAGGTTTGGTATGCATGCATGCAACACCTTCGAAGAGGGCATCTATCATAAACTCTTGCCAACTCTAAAAACTTCGAACTTCAATGTAAGTTTTCAACATGTTATTGACTATAAATATGCTCAAGTGATGGTGTGTTTTGTTTTAAATTCGTTTTGTAGGCTGGCGGTTTTTTTCTTCTTCTTCTTCTTCAGTTCAGTGTCATTTTTATAAGCTTTTTATTTTATTTTATTTTTTATGAAACTTCCCTAAGGATAGGATTCCCATCTCTTTAACAAGATCGTTTCGATCTTGGTCATTAGTTTCTTGTTTGAGTTTGTCTTGACCATCGCTATGCTAATCATACCATGCCTTGTGGCTATAGTCTGCTAAATCCTATCACAGGCTGCCAACTTGGCCGAACAGGGCCCTACGTCACTGCGGATCATATTTTTCCTCCTAAGATTGTTTGCATAAAAAAATTTGAACCCCCTAAAACAAAATTATACAGGTAGTACTTGGATTGTTAATTGTCAATTCTAAAAATTTTGCTGGTTAGCATCAAATATTTGAACACCCCTTCTATTACAAGATCACATCACTCCAAAAGAATTTGATCAATGTGTTTTTTTAACTGGTTTTTTATGCGATTAAACATGTTTTAAAGGGTTTTTGATATTTTAGAGACTTTTCACGTGAGTTTGCCTATTTAAAATGTTTGTGTTTTGCTATTGACAAATTATTACAATTGTGTGGCATGTGTTTTGAAAGTATTCATTTTCAACCAAGAAAAATTTTATTTATAAAAAGAAATATTTATCTGTACCAAGTATCCGTCAAAATTTTTAATTTCTTTTAGTTAGTGTGATTTCTTTTATATAATTTGTGATATTTAAAATTTGAAATGTCTATTCTAAGAAAAATGTATAGAGCCTTGCATTCCAAGGGTGAATGGTGGGCAAGTATTCTTCCATTTTTATTACCACTACAACAATTGTCATTTTGGTGACTAAATTTTTAGTTGCCAAACGTTAATTTTCAATTGCCGAAATTTTTTAGCGATAGATTAGTCGTTGAATAATTGTCGGGAAAGGTTTTGGCAACCAAAAAAAATTTACTCGCCGAAAGTTATTAATTGCTGACTAATTTTTTAGTTGCTAAAACCTTTCAAAAAAATTAATATCGCATTTATAGCGACTAAAAAAATTTTGTCGCCAAAAACTAAATTATTTACAGTGACTAAAGTTTTAGTCGCCAAAAAAGTTTTGTTGTTTATCTTATTTTTTTTAACTACTAAATATTTTAGTCGCCCAAAGTTTGATTTTGTTTTTAGCTACTAAGGTTTTAGTCGCTAAACTTTTTTTTTTCATTTTATTTTTTTTTAACTACTAAAGTCTTAGTCGCCTAAAGTCTGATTTTTTTATGGCTACTAAATATTTAGTAGCCAAAAAGTTTTTTTCATTTTATTTTTATTTTTTAGCTGCTAACTATTTAGTCATTAAAAATATTTATTTCTTTTTTTGGCTACCAATTGTTTAGTCGCCAAAAACATGATTTTATTTTTTTTATAATTATTTTGTCCACAACCTGTATGTATTCCGTGCAACCTGTACCATGTATATAAATAAACCAATACATATATTATCAATCATTCCACAATTTTCAACCATTTCATTTCCAACCATCCAAAAAGGAATCACTTTAATGTCAAATTTCATACAAACTAAATATATTCCAACCTAAAATAATAATTCCATACAAAACATGTCCTCCGTACACACAAAAAAAATATATTAGCAACCAGTTGCACCAGCTACAACAGCAGCAACCAATTGCACATAAATAAACCAATACATATATTATCAATCATTCCACAATTTTCAACCATTTCATTTCCAACCATCCAAAAAGGAATCACTTTAATGTCAAATTTCATACAAACTAAATATATTCCAACCTAAAATAATAATTCCATCAAAACATGTCCTCCGTACACAAAAAAAAAAATATATTAGCAACCAGTTGCACCAGCTACAACAGCAGCAACCAATTGCACAACTCCAGCGGGATTTACAATTCTAGCAATGCAGACAGTAGCATCAGATGCAGCAGTCACAAATAGCTCCCTGCAACAGTCCTACATTTCAGGCCATAACACAACTACATCATGGCCAATTTAATGATATCTGAGAATAGAAGATCTGAACACCTAAAGAGAATCAACAGAAGAGAGAACCAATCAAACATTTTAGATTCTTATTTGTTCTTTTTTGGCAATGTTAGAATAAATAGTTATGCTATAAAAAAAAATATGCATTCTAATTTATCAAGCGGATGTTATTCCTAACATTATTTGATGTTTTGTCTTATAAAAGAACCTTAATAAGAAAAAAAAATCCAAGTTTCCAAATTTAGTGTTCTTGGCTGTTCAAAACAAAAAATAAGAAATTAGTGATCGAGGGAAAGTTTTCCATTCAAAAACACATGTACCAAAATGTGGATTTCTAGAAGACTTCTATTTTATTTGTTTAGCTAAAGTTTTCCATTCAAAAACACATGTACCAAAATGTGGATTTCTAGAAGACTTCTATTTTATTTGTTTAGCTTCAAGACATCTAATATTATCTTTAGAACAACACCAAAACTCTGCATGACAACAATTAAAAATAAATAAATCCTTAGATATCAAGTTGCCATTTTGCTCACCCAGTATTTCAACATCAAAACCAACATCTAACTGTGATAATATACATGAATATGAGGCAAATATATGGGATGAAATATAACAAATTAATACATACAAGTATGGTAAGGCAAGTAAACAACGTTTGGCATGCTTTTTAGCACTCAGGAGCATTTAACACAAAAAGTAACACATTTTTAGCAGATTTTAGATTAGTAGGAGCCAAAGGATTGGGTCGGTAAAAATAATTTTGGACCTTTTTAGGTTTTGAAAATTAACAGAAACATAGAATAATAAGTTTACTTTTATTCCCAATTTCAGAATTTGCATAACCTTAACCAGAATTTTTAGCTATAGGCCATAAGCCATATTCTGTCCAGATTTGACACAGTTTTAGGAAAATGAGCATTTCTCTCAATCTACCCAATAACTTTTTGTTCAAATAAATTTTGTTGGAAAGAGGGCTAAAAATGATAAGTTTTGACATAAGAACCAACCTAAGATGATTTTTCTAGAATTGTTTTTTTTTAAATACACGAAATGGTCTGTTTTCTAGAAACACGGGGCTAGATTGTTTAAGAAAATTGTGTAGACTATAAAAACGTCTAATTAGGGGCTACCAAAAATGTCACATGCTCTAAACACCTCAAAGATCATCCCCTACATTCAGTTTTGAAAAAGAAGTAAGTTTGATATTTTTCCAAGAGTGATAATCATGAAATCAGCAGAAAATACAAGGTAGCATCACTTATTCATACTAACACCTAAACTTACACCCCATTTCCAAGCACACCAACATTTCATACATACACAGGACATGTAAATTAACATAGCACTCGGGAAAATTTTATGAAGTTGAAAGAAGAATATTAATTCTCTTTTAGCCTACTGCTTCCTAAATCTTGGAACCCCACACCTCCAAAACACTGATGCTCTTTTATTTCACTTTCTACTTTTGTTTGATGAGAAGTTCTTCACAATAAACTTGTATGTATAGTGTTGGAAAAATCTTCTGTGTAAAATAAATAAATTGAAATAAATCAAACAAATAAATAAATTACGTACCGAATTTATTTTGTCAAACCGAATAAATATTTAAAGATCAAGTCGAGTGTGTGATACTCTGTTCTTAAGACAGATTCGCCATGCTACGGTGCTTATGGAAAAATGACGTCTATCTTCCAGGATACAATGATCTTCACAAATTGTAGTAGCACTTCAAACAATTTGTATGGCGAATAAAAACCTTGTGTTCTATACTCTCTTTAATTTTTTCTTAACTGAAAAGTATTTATGCAAAGGAGCAAAACTGGACAGCAAAATGAAACTTTCAGATTATTTCTGGATGTCCAAACTGTTGGAATAATGATGGTATTTATTTATAAGCAAAATAATCTGCTCGAACAGGTTCAATTGAACTGAACAGGTGCAGATTTTGAATGAACAGATGCAGTCCAAAATTCAACAGATCTGTCCAAATTGTGCAGTTTCTATCTGTGTAACTGTAGCAGTTATGAGCAGATTCCAGCAATTAACATGTTGGAAATTTCGGACTGAAGGAGATAAAAATGGACAGAAAATTAATTCAATTTTTGGCACAAAATTTGAATTTGATTTCATTGAAAATTCAAATAAACGCGCCAGTTCAGCCATGATCAGACTTGCCCGCCAAAGGGGATAGAGTACCCTGCTGTATTCCCGGTCCGAGGTGCACAGCTTGCTCGGTATGCCATAGCATGGAGGACGAGAGAGCTTCTAGCCCCCGCTCCCACTTTCAGTCGTACTTTGTCTGATGAGTGCATAGATTGGCTCAATGAAGAGGCACGGATTGGGCCCAACTTGGCATCAGAGGCTTCAACCAGCTCTGGAAGGGGGCGCAGGAACACCTGACTATGCCCCAGACTTATTTGCTTTAATCAGAACTTTCAAGTTTTCTTTATGAATGTAATGAAAAACAACTTCAATTTGTATGCAAGAGCAAGAGAACTTTGTATTGAAATCAATAAAATTGAAGGTTGTGGGTACTGAAAATTTTCTGCTTTGGTCCAAAAAATGGTCTAAGTTGTAAAAAGATTAATTTGAGCAAAATCAACTTTTATTAAAACTTTTCAAAACCATCTTCGATATGGATCAAAACTGGACACGCCTGAGATCTGTTATTGAGATGCACAACCCCGGATCCCAGCAACTGAAAAGTTGCCCCTAGTCTGAATAGCACTGCACCGGAGATCGCAACCGAAGCTCTTGAATGCTGAATAGAAAAAGATAATCGAGATGATCAAATGGACAAAGTTGATTGGGGAAAAAGTTTATGGCTGGACTTCAGGTTGAAGTTGCCTATGTATCCCAAAGATGGGAATCAAGCCTTACGTAGT